ATAATCTGGATTATGGAAATTTGGGGATCGAATTTAGGATCGAATCGAAAATCTATAATAACAAAGCTTAAAATATTGGCATTTATTAAATTGATATTTAGCAATATTTTTATATGAGCTTTCTTCGGCATATTAGAGATTAAAGAAGCTCATAACTACGGCAAAAATGCATTTATTTTAATTCTGAAAGCAGTTCTATGCTAGTTTTTATTAGCTTAACAAATCTGCATACTAAATTAAACAAGTTAAAAAATTCAATTTTTTGCCAATTTTTGCAAATTTTAATGATGTAACTCCTTATCATTTTTTCAAATTTTGGCCAAATTTAAAAAAAATTGTTTTTCGTCCGGAGTAATCCAGGTCGACGCAGTTTTTTGTGCTGATCAATAATATGTATGGTTTATAGGGTCGGAAATGACTCTTTCGATGTGTTTTAAGCTTCTGACTGAAATGAGAATACCCTGCAAGCTTGTAGGACTTTTAATATAGAAATTATGTATAACACAATTTTTAATACATTTTAAATTTGTGTTTTATTAGTTTCTGATTTAAAGTTATAGTTGAACAATAATAAACCCATTCTAAACTCTCAAAATAAATGTAATTATGATTCTGTTTATCAAAGAAACCCAATCAATGATCCAATCTTGGTTATATATTACCAAAACTTTAACCCAAATTCATTGCATTATCAGCGTCATAGCCTCACCTTGACTTGGTTTTAATAGTCGACAGACTGGCTCTCGACCAGGCCCAAAAGCTGCTCTTCCCTTCTACTACTACTACTACTACTACAACTACTACTACTACTATTTTCACTCCGCTGCCAAACACAAGTGACTTTGAAAAGTGCTGGGACTTGAATAGATGGAATGGACGAAACAGAGGATGGACTCTGGACTCTCTAATCCAAGCCAACCAACGGCTATTAATAAACGAAAACGTTGCTCCTTTCCTCCCCCTCGACTGCTGTAAAACTCTCGAATGACTAAACATAAATTCTGTTAAATTTATCACAACAATGGAAAGAAGGCTAACACATGACGTCATTGTGGGCCATGGCCAAAAGCGAGCTCACTCCGGAGAGAGAGAGAAAGCTAACGAGCGAGACGAAGAGAGTTTTTCCGGGCTCCACTCAGCTCTTGAGTGAGTGTTTTAATCCTGGCGCTCTTTTTTTTTGTGGGGCAAGGCTTTTGCTTTTGCTATTTGCATTGTGGTTTCCTTGCGGCCGTCGTTGTTATTTAAATTAATTAAAAATGTATGACGAAACAATAAGCGCAGGCAGACTGACCTTGTTTGTGGCTCAAACAAACGCACACACCCACACACACCCCCTCTTTTATGGCATTTTCCATATGGCGCGGTTGTCCTAATCAACTTGTGCTCCAATAAATAGGCAACAGAAAGCGCTTTCCCTTTTTGTGCTGGCCTGGCTTTTCCTTTTCCTTTCCCGCCCTTTGTTTGTTCGAGACAAACGGAAAATTCCCGCCGCCGCATAATTGCATTTGTCTTTCGCATTTTTCCCTACCCAGCATATGTGTGTGTTGTATTTAAATATCGTTAAAGTTTGCTTGTAATTATTTTCCCGGCGTTGGAACTTTGTCATCGTTGTTGTTTCTCGTCAGCGAACGAACGAGCGTCACACGCGGCGTATGCGTAATATTTTTTGGTTATGCATGCAACTGTGCTGCGTTTTCGCTTCAGGCCACCTGCTGAGGTGTGTGTATGGGTGTGTGTGTGTGTCCCACATTCCCGCAGCAATTAAAAACGGTTAGCATGTTATTTTTATTTTAATTATAAAACCATAACTTTATGCTAATTCTTTTTTTTTCATTGTGTGAAAAAGCTGCGGGGCATCGTCATCACATAGGGAAAAAGGCAACTATCAGTATTGTCAAGTTGTCCTTCAATGGATTTTATGCTTCTATTTTCTATTTCCCAATTTAAAATATATTTTAAATATAGTTTACAGGGCAGCCCTTTTAGCCATATCCATTTCCCTAAGGCGCTTAGCTCTTTAGACCCTGGAAATAAGTTTTCATTTTCCACTAACAACCAGACCCTGAATAAGTTTTTCATTTCCATTTTTTTGTTTTGGCAATTTCAATTGTTTTTCGTTGTTTTTGGGAGAAGTAGTTCCAATTTAGAGCAATATATTGAGAGAGATTTCATGGCAAATCGCTGGCTAAATGTTTAATTGCATTTTATTGCCGCCGCTAAAGGATTGCGTTTTGGGGATTATCGCCAATATTCGCCAATTGTTTTTCAATGGACACTCGAAATTGACCAGAAATAGAAAATTGGCTTCAGAGCTGCCGGCAATATGTGCCATATGTTGTTATTTCTCTCTTTTTTTATTGTTTGGTGAGCCCAGCTAATTACAGTCTGATGGGCTGCGTGTGAAAATGCCAATTGCGATTGCAATTACATAAATGCGCTGCCCGGGAAAACTCATTTAAATGCATGGCACACCGGAGTACCCACCTGAGGGGGTGAAAAGCGTGGGGAAAGGGTGGAAAAGCGGACAAGCGAAGAGGAGTGCCACTTTGAGCCTTTGCCCGGACTGTTGTTTGTTGTTGCCTCCAGTGTCTGCCACTTGGCTCTCATTATCAACAACATAATCAACCACTTACAACAACTAAGTCTGTCACTGAGTGTGTGTGTGTGTAATTTTCAATGATTAGCTATGTTGTGCGCTACACTGAAGAAAAACTCCCATTCGTTTTCCCTTACGCAGGGTAGCTTTTTACCGTGTGAAGGAATCATTTCCGACCATATAAATTATATATATTCTTAATCAGCATAAACAGCAGAATCGATCTAGGCATTTCTAGAAGAGAAAAATATTGTTCGAAATTTTTCCAAATTTTTACAAGTTTTTATCATTAAAATTTACAAAAGTCAACAAAAATTTTAATTTTTTTACATTTTAAACTGAGTATGCAGATTTGTTAACTTGATAAAAATTAGCATGAGAGAGCTTTCCGAATTGAAATTAATCAATTTTTGAGTAAGTTATGAGTTTTTTAAACTTTAATTTGTTTAAAAAATATCATATAAAATTATAGGTAAATATCAATGAAATAATGAAGTTTCTTCAGTGTTTTTGGCGCCATAAAATGTCCAAAACGTTGACGATTGCAAAAAGTCCTATATATTCTGAATCGACATTAAAATCCTAGTTAATGAGTACCAAAAACTTGAGAACAAAAATGTTGACAATTTTTGAAAATTTTAAAAGGGGTTACATGGTTAAAATTTAAAAAATCAGACAACATTTTAATTTTTAAACTGAGTATGCAGCTTTATTAAACTAATAAAAAATGACATAGAAATCAACAATCAATCAATCAATCCGAATTGAATTTAATGCTTTTTTGGCCGAGTTATGAGTTTTTTAAATTTTGATTTTTCGAAAAAATTGTCATATGAAAATATCGTTGTAAAGAATGCAAATATTTTAAGCTTCGTTGTGAACGATTTCCGAATCAAGCCTTATATTCACTTGCAAACTGCCAGGGTATTGATCGACTCGGCTGTAGATGCTAATAATCCATATGTATTTATATATCTTTATAAGGTTTGAAATCTCTCCCACTTCTGATTAAAACAAATCAAATTTTCCATGTCATTTTCTCCCTGTGTCCTGCTCGTCCTCATTGCCGTTTGTCGCTGTAGTTTTCACTGGCAATTGTTGGCAGTAATTAACAAACACTGACAGAGATATATATATATATATATGTATATATCCTTACCTTACACGTGACGTCACGCACAAGTGAGAGTGACAAACACTTAAACGTTAAATGCACCCAGAAAACAAGTGACAACTGTCTACCTGAGCTACCTGTGTTACTGCCTGTGCCCTGCCTTCTGCTCACTTCAGGTGTCATTGCGTGTGCAACACGGCGTATGCGACATAACTTTACACCCTTCGCCTTTTCCCGCCTTTCCTCTCAATTTTCCTTCTCCGGTTTTCCCTGCTCTCGGGAGCTACGTGCTCGTGTAAGCGTGCATGTTTAATTTCGCATTGCGTACTTTGCGGCTCTGAAATGCATTTCACATCTGAAAGTTTACTTTATTATTATTATTATTATGTACAATTAAAGAGTGACTTATTCTGAGGTATTTTATGAAACAAAAAAAGGAAAGAATGGGTGATTTTAACATATATTTTTTCAGGTTTTAATAATGACGTATTGTTCTTAATAAAAGCTTAAATAATTTGCAATAATAATTCATCCTAATTAAGGGTTAATACAATCTTTTCTTCAGAACTTTTATTGTTCTTTTTTGAAACAAAAGCGTGTTTAATTTCTGATTAATATAAAAAAGTGTTATTTAACATTCTAAAAGAATTATTCATGACTTTGTTTTACTAGAACTTTAATATTAAAATTTTAATAATATAAAAAGGTTCATATAGTAGAAGATCGATGTGTAAATATTTACAAAAACTTATTGCAAAAATTCCTCTACCAAAATACCTATAAAAATCAATCAATCGAAATGGTTTGCCGAAATGCGGCCACAAATTAAAACCCAATTTAAGATTGACGATATCGAAATGGAAAATCTCTGGCAATGCCATTGGATATATATAGTCGGGAATGTAGTGTAAATTAAAACTGCATTACATTTTAATTGCACACTCATGTCGACGCCTGCGAGGGCCACTCCTGCTGTGACTCTCACTCTCTCCACTTAATTACTGTTATTTTATGCACTTTAATTTTATTTACATTAATATGCTCAGCTTATAAATCTTTAAGCGCGTCACGTAGTTGTATGTACTGTACGTATTTAAAATATTTAAAATATGATTTGCATTTGCATTTGCATGATGTTTTTTTTAGCATTCTTTTCTTATTCCATTTTTTACTTTCATTTATTTCTATATATATTTATCGTAACTCGTAAAATGCCTGTTGTTGTTATTGTTCTTGTTGCGCTTCTTGTGTCCTGTCCCCGTGCATCCTGCATCCTGTGTCTCTGCGTAGCATTTTGGAAAACAAAATCAGGTTGGTCCTCGTACCCGCACCCCAAGGAGCAACGTCGAGTTAGCGCATTTTTAAAAAACTTTTTCCGTAATTTTTCTATTCCCACACAGACAACAGTCGCTGCTGTCGGACGAACAGGCCAAGGAAGTCGAGCAAATACTGAACGCCGCCGTTGCTGCCGTTGTTGTTGCCGCAGCAACAACATCACCGACCAGCACCAAGAATCTCATTGAGGATTTGCCACCTCAGTCGTCCTCTGGCCAATTGGCAGCGCAATCAGGAGCCAACGGGGAGCAACGCGACATTCATATTGCAGCTGTTCCTGCAATTGTCGAAGAGGAGGAGGAGGACGTGGACGAGGGCGAGGACGAAGAGTATCCGGAGAAGTTCCATCGGGACGAGGACGAGAACGAGAACGAGAACGAGGAGAACCACGCCCGCGGCGAGTTCGATGCCAATGGTGACGGTGATGGGGACTCGGATGACGTTGAAGCCGTGGACATTGTAGGCTACAGTCCAGCCACCACATCCACAGCTCTGAATGCCACCTTTGTCAAGGCCGATAGCACTGAGACGGAGACCACGACCACAACACCTTCAACGGCCACCACAGCCACCACAAGGCACGACGACGACGAGCCCGAGTGGTTAAGGGATGTCCTTGAGGTGGGTAAAAGCTCTTCAATTTACTAAATATTTAATGAGTCTATAATAACCTTTGATTATTTCTTTTACTACAGGCTCCCAAACGCAGTTTAGAGAATCTGCTTATCACCTCAGCCAGTTCTGTGACAATTCAGCAACGCGAAGAACTCGAGAACGGCTACGATTTCCAGGTTAAACATTCCGATCTAAACCAAACTTATGTAACAGGCGGTGGCGGAGAATCGCTGCATGAGTCTATTGTGTCCGTAGAATCCACACAATCGGATGCCACACTCAATCAGACGACAACCATTGACGATAGCATCATCTCCAGCAAACACAATTCCACATACTCTCTGGCCGATGCCGAGCAAGCCACAAATTCGACTGTTTTAAGTACTGGAGTGACCGAACTAGACGATAGTCAGTACTATATACCGGAATATCCGCCGGTGAGAAGCAAGGAGGTACTTGTCGAGGCGGGAGTGCATTACTTTGAAGATGGCAACTTTTGGATGGAAGTGCCTGGTGAGTTTTTATCCTCACATTCCCCAATATATAGTAAATAATGATATGGTTTATATTATTTATAGGTCTCCTAGACTTTGACGACGACGACTGCTCCTATCCGCCCATTACTGTACGCAAAAATCCCAAGGTACGCTTCAGCTCCGGTCCGATCCACGTATACTCAACATTCTCTGTTAATGACTACGATCGCCGGAATGAAGATGTTGATCCTGTGGCCGCTTCGGCGGAATATGAGCTTGAGAAGCGTGTGGAGAAGATGCATGTCTTCCCCGTTGAATTGATGAAGGGTCCGGAAGGTTTGGGTCTCAGTATAATTGGTATGGGCGTTGGTGCCGATGCTGGCCTAGAGAAATTGGGAATATTTGTGAAAACAATCACCGATAACGGAGCAGCAGCCAGAGACGGACGGATTCAGGTGAGGAATTGATTACGATAAAGTTTGAATGAGTGATATTAATACGGTTTCTTTTATCATCAGGTCAACGATCAGATCATTGAGGTAGACGGCAAGAGTCTCGTGGGTGTAACACAGGCGTATGCAGCTTCTGTGCTGCGAAATACTTCCGGTCTAGTCAAATTCCAAATTGGACGCGAACGTGATCCTGAGAACTCAGAGGTAGCCCAGCTCATACGACTGAGTTTGCAGGCGGATCGTGAGAAGGAGGAGCGCTTGAAGCGGTTAGTTAGTCTTGGAACATAAATTAAATATCAATAATTAATGATTATTATAATTGTTTAGTCAACAAGAGGAGTATCTGCGACGTACGCTCGACTATTCGGAGGACTCGACCCAACCCGTTTCGGCCAATTCGAGTGTGTGCGAAGGACCCTCGAGTCCTGTGCAAGTGGAACATCCCATGGAGGTGGAGGCCACACATTCGCAGGAGGTAGAGTCGCTTAAGCGGCTGCTACAGGAGGTAAGGCATCCTTGGACAGGAATCCCCCTAATGCGACCGTGCTCTTAACTCTTGTGTGTGTTCTTGTGTGTTCTCTCTTCTCTCTCCTTTTTTGCTGAATTTTGATAATATTTGAAATGCAGCACAAAGCGGTAATTGGTTTTGAAAATATACATCATTGAAAATCGAAATTTTAGATACTAAAAAACAAAAAGTAGAGCACATTTTCGAAACACTTTTGATTGAGTTTTAAAGTAAATTCTTGATTTTAATAACGTTACCTAGAGCGTGAATTAACTAAATTATTTTTTTATATTTAGCTAGTATGTTTTTCTTGTTTCAGTTTATTTATTTACCCTTTGTACTTATTATTATTATTTCTTTGAAATTATTTCCCAGAGCGAAATGGGTTGCCTTGTCAAGGAAGAGATTATACAAAATCTTAAACGAAAGGTTTGTTTTCTTTTTTGTTTTTGGTTTACCTTTTATTATTTGAATAAACAATCATCTCATCATCCATTGATTGCACAACATTTTCTGTAATATATTGGTATTGTTTATTAATATATTCTTTTAAACCTTCTCCCAGCTGGTCAAGCTCGAGACCACCGGCAATGAGAATGAGCTGCTCAGCGAGCGGCTCCGTCAGAGTGAGCGGGAGCTCGGCAACATCCGCAAGGAGGCAGCCAATCTCCAGAATATGTTGCAACAGTCCCAGGGCCAATATATGGCACTGGACAAGAAGTACAACAAGGCGAAGCGATTGGTGCGCGAATACCAGCAACGGGAGCTGGACATGTGCCATCGCGAGGAGTTCTATCAGCAGCTGCTCCAGGAGAAGGACACCGAGTACAATGCGCTGGTAAAGAAGCTCAAGGATCGGGTCATCAATCTGGAGCACGAGCTGCAGGAGACACAGCGCAAGGCTGGTTTCCCTGTCGGTCTGCCCTACGATAGTGCCACCTTGAAGCTAACGCCCCAAATGATGCGCAAAACGCCACCAAAGCCGCTCTTCCATAAACTGGAAACTGAACTATCGGATACCGAGATCTCGGATCTATCGCCCGATGGCGATGGCGTTAAGACCGCCACCGTGGAGCGCAAGGTTCCTGTTAAGGATGAACTGGATGCGGCTGTGCCGCAGCACGAGCTGCTGGATAACTCGGTGAATAAGACGAAAATCGATCTGGGTGAGTCCTTAAAAACAATCTTTCTTACTGAATCCTACTGAATCACATAATTTTTCGCTTATCTTTGAGACTGCGACTGTCAAAATTTAAAGAAAACAAGTATCAAAAGATTTAATTAGGTGAACATTTAAATTAAATATTACAGTTTCCATTAATCAAACAGCAACATTTCAATATTTCATGTAGTTGTTAGAATTTGCATTCAAGCACATTTACATTACAATTTATTGAGTTTTTTATGAAACCATTTATATATTTTAAAAAGGAATTAGCGGATATATTGATGAATTAAGTTATTTATATAGTTATAATACAAGAAAGTAAGCTATTTTGGGTAAGCCTTAAAGTTTATAATCGAACTAGAGGGTCGGAAATCGATCGATATTTTACTATGACAATTTTTTTCGAGAAATCAAAATTTTGGAAAACTCATAACTCGGCCAAAAATGCATTAATTTAAATTCGGAAAGCGTTTCTATGTTAGTTTTTATTACCTTGATAAATCTGCATACTGAATTCTAAATTCTAAAAAATTCAATTTTTTGTCAATTTTTTTAAATTTTAACGATGTACAATTTTCAAATTTCGGAAAAAAAATTTAAAAAATGTTAATTTCTTCTAGACATGTCTAGATTGATTCTGCAATTAATTCTGATCAAGAATATATATGATTTATAGGGTCGGAAATGATTCCTTCATTGTTTTAAAAGCTTCTGATTAATACTAATACGCTACAAAAAGGTATAAAAACAGACAATTTTTTTAAATAATCAGTGTTTTTCAAACTTCATAACTGAGCCAAAAATACATAAATTTCAATTCGGAAAGCTGTTCTGTGTTAGTTTTAAGGCGCTAACAAATCTGCGTACCGCGTTTGTTGATGCTGCTAAAAGATTCTGACTAAAATTATAATAACCTGCAAAATGGCATAAAAACAGGCAATTTTTTAAATAATCAGTGTTTTTCAAACATGATAATTAAGCCAAAAATGCGTTAATTTCAATTCAAAAACCTGTGCCGTTTTAATTTTTATAGCGCCAACAAATCTGCATACTCAGATTTTGAATTTTAAAAATTCAATTTTTTGTCAATTTTTGACAATTTTAACGATGTAACCCCTTATCAAATTTTCAAATTTCGAAAAAATTCCAAAAATTTATTTTTCACCAAGATATGCCCAAATCGATTCTGCTATTGATTCTGATCAAGAATACATTTGGTTTATAGGGTCGAAAATGATTCCTTCGCTGAGTAACAAGCTTCTGTCTAAAATTTATATACCCTGCAAGGCTATAATGAGCATTTATTAAACTAGGAACAGTTAACATTTTAAACTCAAAAATATATATCTTTAAATTTTGACAGTCGTTTATTTTTACAAAAAAAAAAACGGTGTTTGTTTTGGTTTTGTTCACTTTGCGCCTTTTGAACTGCACCTCGGGCTAAAGCTAAAGCTTCAATCACTGCCCTCTCCCTCGACTTTTGTTTGCTATATATTATCTTCTCCTCTTGTTTTTGTGCTCCCCATTGTCATTGTCATTTTTGTGCTAATTGTTATTCTCTTTCTTTTCCCATTTCTCTCGATTTTATTTGCTCTCTCTCTCTGTGTGTGTGTGTGTGCCGTTCTGGTTCTCGTTCTCGTTCGTTCATGTTTGTATTACGTTCCTTTTGCTCGTTGTACATTTGTGACTGCCACGCCACGCCCAACACGCTGCGCCCTCATTTTGCCCAACAACTACAACCAAATCTCTACCAAAAATCAAATTCAAAATTCAAATTTTGAAAACACAAAAAAAAAAAAAATCGCACTCTTTGCAAAAAAAAAAAACAAAATCGGTTTTATGTTAAACAAAAGCCTCCCGTGGTGGTTTAGCCAATCGCCAATTGCCCTCAGCGAACGGCACCGGCTGCAGCTCCAACTCCAACGGCGCCGCCAGCAGCGATCTCGGCCAGCTTTCGAACGGCAACCTGAATCTGAAGCGCAGCAGGAGCAACAGTCGCAGCTCGGACTGCACCCTGGACGATACGGACGACGACGAGGATGGGGACAGAGGCGTGGAGGCGGGCGAGGGTTCTGCCCTGAATCTGGCAGGCGGTGCCTCTAGCTCCTCCACCCACGACATCATCAGCCTGTCCAACGGCAACTCGCATCTGCTGGCCAATGTTAACAATCTGCTGCAGCATCATCCACCGCCAGCAGCGGTTGTAAGCACGCCGCCCTCCTCCAACGGCCATCTGGGCACCACCACAGCCATTCTGTTGAACTCCACATCCTCCGCCTCGTCCAGTTCTTCCAATCAATCGACGGCACGTGAGGCACAGATCAATCAGCTGTACGCTCAGGTCCACAAGGATCCCAGCAAGCAACAGCAGCAGCAGCAGCAGCAGCAACAGCAGCAGCAGCAGCAGCTACAGCAGCTGCAACAGTCACAACAGAGCAGCATTCCGGGCATCTTCAAGAACGCCTTGGGTTCGCCGGCGGATAACAATGGACTGAACGACTTCCATCGCGGCAGCATGACAACCTTTGGAACTGGTCCGGCCAGCAGCAGCAATCGTGATCTCAACAGTTCGTATGACTCCATACTGGGCAGCAACGACAAGCTCTCGGAGAACGAGCCGGCGGAGAGCTGGATGTATCCAAGCCGACGACGAGTGGCACCCAATGGCAGCAAGGTTCCATTGCCCGGTTCCAGCTTCACGGATCAACTCAATCAGGCTCTGTCCGATCGCGAGAGGTGGGTGTCACTGCCAGTTCTGCAAATAGTTTAATTTTAGTGATCCTTTATAAGGAAAAATATATATTTTGTTATTTTCTTTTAAAAGTTTTGATTTTTTTATAATACAGGGTTAAAAGCTACTCTTTATGTAGAATTAACCTGTATTAAACATTGAAAAATAATTCATACTTCAAAGAAAAGAATACAGTCTGAAGTTAGGAATAAGAAAAGTTAAGCACTCTGTTATACGATTGCTTTGAACTTTTTGCAGGCGACTCGGCGATGGATCCTCGCGACATTCCAGCGATGATTACACGGAGATCAACAAGAGCCAGAGTGCAGCGGCCATCAATTGCAAGACACTGATCAATGAGATCCGCCAGGCGGTGAATGAAGCCCAGCCCAAAGGTGAACTATGACCAACCAAATCAATCCACCTCCAGCCAGCACAATCCTCCGATTCTCTCTCTCCCTCTAGCCAGATCAGGCCGTAGACTAACCCCAGTAGAATTGACAGAAGTTTAATCATTGCCAAATATCATAATCATCTCATCACTCCACACTTCCACAGAACTGTACATATGTTTATCTGTTTGAAAAGCCAAAAAACTAATCGAAACATATTATTCTGTTATAACCATTTATATATATATATCTATTAATGCCAAGGTTTTGAGAGTTCTCACTGAGCGTTATACGTTTACATTGCCACCCGCATTGCCCCCATATATAATTATATATATATCTCTAATGAATGTCTAATCGAACCCATGTACTCTGCCTCAGCGATCTTACTAACCATCTACTTTCTACTCCTTCTCTCCTCTCTCTCTCTATCTATATTTCTGCGAAACTAACAACGAAAATTGCTTCTTAATCCTTCGAAACGAATCCAAAGTTAAACAAGTCGTTCCCCAATCACTCTCCCCGCCCGGCACAGTGCCCTGGCAGCAGCAGCATCTCCACCAGCAGCAGCAACAGCCGTCCGCCCACACCACTGGCCCGCCCTCACCCACCAGCATGTCCTCCGGATGCTCCTCGCCCGGCTACTCGCCCAGCCGCACCCTGGACTTGTCCGGTTCCAGTTCGAGTTTCTCCGATCGCAAGGCAGCGGCCGCCGGATACAATTATAAGGGCGGTCCTGTCCATGAATGGACCAAGGATCAGGTGAGTGCTACAAAATCCCTAATCCAATTACAATAACTAACAATATCCCCAATTCTGTAATGCTTAAAGGTCGGCCACTGGCTGATGGGCATCGAGCTGGAGCGCTACATTCCCGTCTTCAAGGAGCACAACGTCGAGGGCGGTGCACTGCTCACCCTCGACTCCAAGGACTTTAAGACGCTGGGCGTATGTGGTGACGACAAGCACCGACTGAAGAAGCGCCTGAAGGATCTGAAGGCGAACATCGAGAAGGAGCGCAAGGACATGGAGCGAGAGCGTCGCGAACGCGAAAAGGCCATACGCAAGGCCGAGAAAAAGGCGGCCAAAAAGAAGTAGTAGTTGAATTCCTAGTTGATAAGAGCATCAAAAAAAGTAGCCAAAAACCAAAAGCATACGCAGTATATATGTAGTCTATGCATACGAACACGAAGCATATATCTATCGGTTATATTATAAATATATATATTTATATTCATATGTAATGCTAATATATAAATTATTTGTACAACACACAAACACACACATCTATTATACATACGTACTACATTTTAACCTATCAAAACCTAAATAGCATCTCTAGACGTAAATTATTCTAAAGAAAAAAAACAAGAAAGAATTTGAAAGGCAGCAGAAGTGGTAGAAGGTTAGGAGGAGCGATGGAGTACGAGTAGATCTCGGTTAGCAGTGACCCCGAACTCCAAAATCCAACCGAAGGCAGAACTCTGAAAAATCCCCCAACATAAAACCCAGAACTCACAACCAAAAGAAGAAGCTAAGTAACTAGACAACAACAAACAAAAAAGGAGTTGGACTGACTGATTTTTATGATTAATTTAAAAACAAAACCATAAAAGATAAAAATACTAAGAGAATTCTTTTTTAAAAACCAATCAAAAACCAAAAAAGAACCATTTTGAATTGAGAATTGAGTGAATGCAAACGAAATGAGTCGTAGGACACTTAAGGAATTCGCTAGAACAGACTTGAGGAGCATAACAGCTACTTCAAATTAAAATAATGGATAAAGAATGATAAATAATACAATATAACAATGTAATAACGTTTAAGGCAAAGTCTTGTGTTTTTTCTAATTATTAATCTGTGTAATATTCGAGATAATATTCAATTCTAGATATACGTATATGTGTAACAGCAATTGCATTGTATTTGTCAAGACATCTATGAACTGTACTATCCACCAACCCAGCCCCTTAAAATTAACGCTAAAGTATTGTACTGTGTATGCTATATATGCCTGAAAGTCATTTAAGTACTTAAGTAGAGAAGCTAAACAAGGAAGTGTATGTGTGTGTTCGGTTACACCAAATCAATGCAAAAAGTCCACCCAAAAAACCATTTGTTGAAGCAGCCGAGAGCAAATCAAGTTTCAAGAGCGACATCTATTCGTTAGCCAAGTATGTGAGTATGACTGCGTTAAATGCGTGACTGTGTACCTTTTTCTTTTGTTTATCGTGTTTTGTTTTTAAGCTTTTGTATAAATAGTTTACTTGTGTAGCAAGAACCTTAGTATTTGTATTTCATAATTTTAATTTGTTTTGTGTTGTGTGTAGTATAGTTTTATGTGTATCTTATAATTTCTAAATGTTGCAATAAAACGGCATACGTTTACCTATCCCCCTATCTATCTTTCTTACCAAACTTCCAACGCCCCGATGGACTTAAACTCTGACCCCAAACCGGTGATGGCCACAATACTGTCTTACCCAACTTTGATTTATTAAGGAAAACCAAATTGTAGCAACTAGTCCTTGTTTTCATTATAAACAATTAGCATATAATCAGGGCTACCACAGAAATCGTCTGTGATTTGATATCTAATTAAATTTGGACTTCCTTTTAATTGATTTCAAATGCTATTCCGATTTCTGTGGCACCCCCGAAGAATTATCAAACATACGAATATATGAATACTCTCTTTCTCTCTATCAATCTGTCTCTATTTGACTTTAAGACCCCGGCCGTGGCCAAGGTGGACACCATTCCGGTGTGTGTCCTCGGGTTCAGGCGGCCGGCAGCGCATAATCACCGCATGTGTCTCCACTCGTCTCGTCGCAAGTCCTTAATATAGCTTTTGAAAAGCTCGCCTCTAAACAGTGCCACCAACGAAAAGAAAACAAAATCAACCGTTATAACTTACGAAAAAAAAACAAAATGATAACATCCTTAATAACGAATAATTCTTGTTTGTTTACCGTTTTAATTTCTATTAAATTGTGGAATTGAAATCGATTCAAGCTGCATTTTTTTCAAATTTAAATTCAGGCAAATTAATCAATAGGGAATTTAATTTAACTTTGAAAAGCATCTAAAAGTAAGCCAAGAAATATTTTAACCAAGTATTAAGATATTGAATACTAGTATGTGAAATATGTACTTCTGGACTCAATTATTTAAAGTGATTTATAATTACCAGTGACTTTCAATCACTTAAAAATTGTGTCTAAAAGTAACTTAATTTACAGAATTAATGATTACTTTTGGGTACTTTTTAAAGTGACTTAAAACCACTATTGATTTCTTTGGCGCCCTTTCATATTTCAAAAATTCCCGAAAGAACAAAAATAATTCTCTATTTTTCCCTTACCATCTTAATCAGTTTAAATTTCACAAAAATTTGATTAAAATTAAATCGGAAACAGCGAGACAAATAAAATCAAAACACTTGAGCAAAAAATTAAATGCAAATTGATGACGCTGCACGCGACCAAAATTCTGGTTCTTAAATTTTTTTGTTCACACTTCCGTAAAATAAGAATTTGGGGAGTGTTTTGAATAAATTTATAAAGAAAACCGGAATGGTACGCGTGCAGTGCTCACCCAAAAGCATTTCAAGATAATTGTTATTTTTTTGAAAATGTTTTTCAGTTCAAGTTTATTTTTGGGTAATTGTTTGTAAGCGTTTTTTACACCATTTTTAAAGCAAACTTAAGAAAAAAAACCAAAAAAATAACTAACAATCAAAACCAGTTTAAAAATTCGTATATATTTAAATCAAATTAATAATATGATAAAAGTATTTGAGCTGGTTTGCCCCGAAATTCTCAAAGAGTAGGGGTCCAGTCGCATAAAAACCAAACAAAATATAAAAAAACGAAATGTAAAACACCTACAGAACACATTCGTGCCTTTTTCATTGCGAAAAACCGTCCCAACCATAAGAAAACCGAGCGGGGGATCTTTCGATATATATAACATCCGATCAGGGATTTAGCCAGATAATGTCACCTTTCAGGCCAATTCAGAAAATCCCGAGAAAAACCCCTGCCACGAATACGTTGAAACCATTTGAAATCCCGCAAATGCCTTAAATCAAGAGAAATTATTAAATATTACCCATTAGATATTCAAACATAATTCAGTTCGCTTGTAGGTTTTTTAAAACATTTTCGAATTACTTGTTTTAAGTTGACCGTTTGCAAGCAAAGTTGGCTCGGTTTTGTGGCTTTATCAAAAGGAGATTCAGAGGTTGATCCATCCCAGCGTTTTTCCAAACCCCATTTTTATCTTTAGAAATATTCCACAAACTTTGTTTTTCAACCTTAAAATAGATTACTTTCTATCTTTTTTTCTTGAGAAAACTTTAAGAGAAATCAATCGTTACCAAATCCTTATTAGTTTCAGAATAAACTCAAACGTTTTTGTACATTTTTCTTTAAATTTTTAAATCCTATCAGTTTATATATCATTTTCAGTTCTATATAATTTGTGTGCATGAGTCTGTGTTGCCATATATTATTACTACTTTAATACGGAAAATAGCTATCCCATCCCAATAAATTTCAAAAAATAGATTGGCTTAAAACTATATCTTTTAAAATCATTTGAAAAACAAAATACAAAGAAAAGATAGAACTATCAGCTAAGCAATTACAGCTACTCTAGCCAATTAATATTGATGACAAAAATAAATTTAAAATTAAAACAAACACCAAATGCAAATGCAATTAGCTAAACCAGAAAAATGAAAACCTAAATCTTACAAATCATGGAAAATAATAATAATAATAATAATAATAAATCACGTAACACAGTGCTAATAAATATACTCCGAAATAAACCTAAATATGAAGTGCATTTCTTGTTTACTTGCCGAGTAAAATCTCTTATCTGTAATCTGTTTGAGTTGCACAGCAATTCTGTTTACAAAACGACGGCATATTTAATGGGTTTGTTGGACCGCCCAGCAAAAGACTCTGAGAGACTGTCGCAAATCGAATGTGGAAAGATACATACAACACATACCACAAATACTCTACCAAAGAGATCCCTCACCAGTAGATACCTCGAATATTCCATGTAATCGTGAATGGGAACATCTTTCAGCATTTCTTTCCGCTTGGGGTTTTCCTTATCATTTGGGAATTTTCCACTCTCGTTTTGGCCTGCTTCTTGGGCATAGAAAGGTCAATTTTTCAATCTCTTCTCCAAACTGAACATAGGTTTCAGGTCTTGTTTTTGTTTCCAAGAGGGTTGTGTTCGAGCATTTTCGAATTCATTACATTTGGAATTTCAAGAGCATTTGTGGCTCGGTTTTAGTCATTTTAAAAATGTAGTTCCCACACACTATCTTATATTGAATATAAAACTAATGAGACCTTAGCAACGAAAGGGACTGTCTATCAGAAACAATCTCTTTTTAATATTAATTAAATTTAATTAAAGTAGATTAGAAACTATTTTCTTTAAGAAATATTTATAGCTCTTGTTACCCTAAAATTCTGTCTGAAAAAAATTGCCTAATCAGTTAAAATTGTTTTTGCAAATGCAACGGATGCTGAAATGCATTTTCAAGCCATAAAAGTTGTTTACTGCTTTGAGTCCTCATCGTCACTGAATGTCTTAGTATTTGTAGACCCCCAGAAAGTGATAAGAAAATGCATAGAATAATGTTGCATTCTTATCAGTGTTAATGCTCAATTGCACATTCAAAGACTTATTGTTTTTCTTAAGAAATCGGTTAATGGGTAAGAGACTTATCGAAGGAATGAATATGAATCAGTTGCCGGGTGATTCAAAATTATAAACCTATTACAACAGATAGATAGATAGATAGATAGATGATAGACTCGTGTTGTCTAAGGTGTCTGGTTAGAAACTGATGATCTGTTAAAACTTTCCTAGTAAGTTTGCTGATAAGCAAAGGTTGGCGATGTCGCAATTTAAAAAAAAATTCTCGGCCAGTGGCATGTTTTGAAATTAATATTTATAAATAGTCCAGTCGCGATTATTATGTTTGCTTTATGATTAATTGGACAATGTTGCCAAGTCTTGGTCAAGTTTATTATAATATTATTTAAATATTTACAATATCAATATTCTAGAAAAGAAAACCCCTAAAGATAAGAATCCACTCTTATAAAATAACTTTGCTAAAAGCTGATAAAAGTCTTGCTCAAATAGCACAAATCCATTTAAAAAGATAATAAATATTATCAGTTGTAAGTAATGGCGGAATCATTTATGATTGTAACTATCTTTCCTTACCTAATGGTTAGCTCAAAGTATTGCCTTTCTTATCCGCAAATATACAGTTTGTCAAGTAATTCTTTGCAAAACGAAAAATCCATCACAATTTTGGGTTTAAGCTGAAAATTTATTGACAAATACAAGAATTTTTAAAATTTTCTTTTATAATATTATTATGATAACTTTAATCTATAAATATAAAAACAAAACTTAAATATTTTAACTTAAAACATAGTAAAAAATAACAAAAACAAAAACATTGCAATTCGTATGCTGTCAATTAATTCTTTGCAATTTGCAAAGACGTTATAGTTTACCAAGGATAACTTAAAAACTATAATAGCTGCGGCGTTAATATTTTATGTGGAGTCCATTTGCATCTATTACAGCATGGAGGCGTCGCGACATTGGCATTATTAGCCCCTTCAAGTCGTAATATTCAGTAATTTTCCTGACATTCCTGGCAATGTGTGAGGAGTATTTGTGGAGATTCAGGACTTTCCTCACAGTCTCATGGCAACCTGTTTTTCTGCAATAATTTTATAAGTCCAAAGCCAACTTTCTGAGGGTTGTTGGCGGGTTTTTATCAATTTGTTTCGAAATTTTATAATGGTCGGAGAGCTTTTGGTAATCTGCCTGTAGAATTGTACAGGTCAAGTCTATTTTTCTTTTTAGACCGTTTAATTATTTTATACATTGTTCCTAACTTAATATCAAAAATTTCTGAATGTTCCGACGCCGATTACCCTTTATAATGGTTAAAGTAAACCAATTCTATGTTATTATCGTCAATTCGTTTGCCGGGCATGATTAAAATTCTGGACTCGATCAAACACGAACTTTTTCCAACGAAATTTTTCAAGAATATAAAAGTAAAGACCACTAAGAAGTGGCAAGCGTTAATTTTCCGCAGAATTTGCTTTGCGTTGCTTAATTCTAGGAACCTCTTCAACTCCTGTTTGCATTATGCAAAGAATTAATTGACAGCATACGAATGGCAATGTTTTTGTTTTTGCTATTTTTTACCATGTTTTAAGTTAAAATATTTAAGTTTTGTTTTTTATATTCATATATTAAAGTTATCCTAATAATATTATAAAAGAAAATTTTAAAAAATTCTTGTATTTGTCAATAAATTTTCAGCTTAAACCCAAAATTGTGAGGGATTTTTCGTTTTGCAAAGAATTACTTGACAAACTGTATATTGTTTGGTGTATTTAAATCCGCTCAATTCAATTAGTTAGTTTAGGAGCAACAATTCCGGCAATATAATAAAATTGAATGCTGAACAATCAGCGCGGGCAAAGGCATCACGCAGATTCCGATCTCTTAGTGTTGTTTTTCCTATACACACAAAAAAACAATGGGAAGAAGAATCTTTGTCCGTTTCGTTTTTTATTTATTTGATAGTTTTATTGATTTTTTCTTTATATGACTTTTTTTCATAAAAATCAAAGTTTTTTTTATTAGGTTTATACTCAATTTAGAATTTTGAAAAATTGTAATTTTTGCCAATTTTTGAAATTCCACTTTCAATTTTTAAAAAAATTTGAGCATTTTTCAAAATATTTTTTTCTGACGGAGATGGCTTAAGAGATTTGCCTATTGATGCTGATCAAGAATATATATGATTTATAGGGTCGGAAATGACTCCTTCATTTTTTTTTAGCTTCCGACTGAAGGTGAAATACCATTTTTAATGGATATTAACTATATTTTTATCTGAAATTTTTCGACAAATCAAAATTTAAAAATCTCATAATTAGGCCAAAAACGCATGTATTTCAATTCGGAAAACGGCAGTATGATAATTTTTATCAGGTTAATAAAACTGTATACTCCATTTAAAATATGAATTTTTTTTACCGATTTTTGCAAATTTTCGAAAAAGATTCCTTCACATTATTTCAAGCTTCCGACTAAAATTATAATACCCTGTAAGTATATAAACATAAATTAAACTATTTTCTGTCTAAAACATATATTACAATTTGACAATTTATTTACAAATTTAATTTATATTTATATTTATCAATTTAATAATATTTTTCACTGTGTAACGCTGCCGCTGGAACCTGCGCCGCCAGCTCTGCCAGCGTCATGGCTTCCAGTTTATAAAACCCTCGTCCGTCAGTCGGCGACGTTCATTCAACAATCGGCGACGCTCAAGCAAACAGCAATCGCGAAGGAGATACCATATAGAGTACCATCGAGTTCTGGATGCGGCAATAAACATTAATAATAAAATACAAAATCATAAAAGTCAGCTGTGCAAAGTAACTAGATTACAAAAGAAATTCCAGTTTCTGCGCTAAATTAGCTTTGATTCGAACAGCAAAAAATATATATTTATTCAACGCGGTCCGATTTTAACATAATCTAAAGCGCGAAAGTTAAGGATTTGCATAACCTGAAGAAGCGGCAGCTGAGCTGAGTTTGCTGATTATATAATTGCAGTGTATTTTGATTGAACAAAGACAACTCTCACAATGACGGGTTACAACAATTCCAATGGCAGCGAAGTGACCACCAGCAAGGGAAATGGACACAGCAATGGCCACAGCAATGGAAACAAGTCGGCCGATTACACCGCCCAGGAGAATCCCACGTAAGTACCTCACTTGGGTTTGGGTTCTCGGGGGAATTAATAATCCTGGGCCTCACGCCACAGGCTCGTTAAGTGCAACATTGGCTTTAATTGAAACTTCCAATAACCTTTTGAACCTTTCGATTGCTTTGTGGGCCCTATTTTAGTTTTGCCTTAACCCCGCCGCAACACCTGTCCACCTTCCCACCTTTCTGACTTACCAATTCTTTCCCTATAACAAATAAAACCGCTTTTACGAATCAATAAAGCCTTTGAAATTATCAAGGCCTGCGTTGCTTCCATTTGCTTAACGTAGTCACCTTAGAACACACGCTCACTTTCGGCTTGGAGCAACCTGAAATTTTCTATTCCAAATTTCATCAACAAATTCGCTGCTTGCCGGACAGCTTTCCACCTAAGACTCTTCACCATTTTCTGGCAGAATGTGCTCGAAGGACTGTTGCTCCGGACAAGGTGGCTCCAAGCCAGGGAACACCTGTGCGCCCAAGAAGGCCGCCACTACCAACAGTGATGAGAAGGTCATACCCACGCCACAGTCTCTGCTGTAAGTTTAAATCCCTCTAAATGGATTGGATAGGATGTCTTAAAAAATTCATGTAATACCAACTACAGCTTTACCCTAAAATTTTGCCCACGTTGGCAGGTGAGCTTCAAATCCAAATTGTTTCAAAGAAATCCTAATTAAAATGCCAGCTAGAACTTGTCCTTGATCTTTCCCGGCGCTATCAACAAATACGCTAAGCAAAGATCTATTCTGTTTCTTGAATTTTAATTAGGACATTCCAGTAGTCCAGGGCTTATCAATTTTTGTCAAACGACGACGCAAGTCATTAAAATCCCATTCGGAGAGCGATCTTTAATCTGCATACGATTATATGGAGTGTTCTTTTAATACCCTTTCAAGGGTATTATAATTTCAATCAGAAGCTTGTAACCATTTGAAGACATCATTTCCGACCCCATAAATCCTATATATTCTTGATCAGCATCAACAGGAAAATCGTTTTAGCTTTCACCCGCAGAAAAAAATAGCTTTTCAAAAATGTTCAATTTTTTTAAATAAAGGAAAGGGGTTACATCGTTAAAATTTTCAAAAATTGGTAAAAATTTCAATTTTTAAAATTCTTAATTAAGTATGCAGATTTATTAACCTTATAAAAACTAACATTGGAGCGATTTCCCAATTAAAATTAATGCTGTTTTGGCATAGTTATAAGTATTTTAAACTTTAATCGAAAAAATCCTCATAAAATTTTTTATTAATATTGATTTAAATAATACAAATATTTAAGCTTTAGCTTATAATCAATTTCCGATCCCTTAATTCGTTAGGAAACACGAAGGGTTTATGAACCTCGGCTTCCCGTGGTTATTTTCCTTTTTTGATTAATTTTGTAAAGTTCATTCGGTTTTACTACACAGGAAATATAAAATATTTTAAGTAAAATTCTTCCATGAGAATTAATAGTTTAAAGTTAGCTATTTTATTCGTGAAACTTATCAAAACTCAAATCGATTACAAGCTTAAAATTCCCCTTATTGCTTAGCCAACCTACCTTTAATTGATTAGCAATCAAGATGGGGCCAGGTGTTTATCGAACCATTTTGGCCCAATTAATTGCGAAATCGACTCGCAGCCGATTGGCTCTGGAAAGCGGGCGTGTTCCTGATCTTGACACGGGCCTCCAACTCATTATCTTTACCACATACCTTCAAGTAATTGGCAAAATTGCCGATAAAGAACGCGATGCCACAACTCGCCGGTTTATTTTCTTGATTAGTTACGAAACTAGTTTTCGAATATTTGCTGAATATTGATGAAGGCGGCGATATCTTGGAAGATCTGCCATGTCGCGTGTTCAGATCGAATTTCCATAAACGACCGGCTACCTCCAGACGCATTTATTAAAGGGATTAATACCCGAAGTTTCCAATTAGTGGAAGTTATGCGTGATTGTGAGCTCCCTCGTTTTCTTTTTTTTCGTCAAACCCATTTTAATGACGCACTTAATGTTTACTTTTAAAGGCGTGTTTTTGTTTTGTCCCCTGTTTAATATTGATAATACAAGTAGCAGCATCATCGGAGGCTTATCATCAGATTGTTTCAAAAACAAAATGATGAAAGCAGCCTCCTCGCAACAGCACGTGGGGGTTACGAGTTCGGATTTGTTAACAACATTTGTCAACATTACTCGACTTGCAGTTCAAGTTCGTGCAGCTCAACCTCGAGCCAACTGAATTCTTTATGGCTCTAATAGTACTTAATTGCGGGTTTCGACTGGATCGATAATTGGTCTAGAATTATAGAGCTTACCAAACTAGTATGTTTGCCACAATTTCACAATACCCTTGCGATTGCCTAAGAGAAAACCATAAATGATATGGCGAGTCCTTATCTACCCTATTTGTTGACATTTCTTTCAGCTTTCTGTGTGTTTATATCACTTACCTCTTTTGGGGAAAACTTTCCTAGCCCAACAATTCATAGTTTTTATTTCATAATTGCAGCAAAAGTAATGGCAAAATCCAGTGCGATCTAACGCCCGAAGAGATGAGGGCATTGAAGGTTCTCAACGAAGACACGTTCGTAGACCAATTCTTCTGAGTGGATTCTCACGTTTTATATGTCTTCCGATTGTAAAGTTTTTGTCATTTGTATTTGTCGTTTTTTTGGTGAAAATCCACACATGTTCATTACATTACAATTGTTTCTTTGCAGAAAAAGATAGCAAAGATTTTCTACCAAAACTGTATTTGTTTATTATTGTGTTTTGTTTTAGTTTTGCTAATTGAGAAATTTCATTACTCGAATCCATTGTTATTCCTTGTAAAAACCCAAAGGAAAGTAATTCTTTCCAGTGATCACATTCCTGAATCTGACTATCTATTTGTGATTCTGTCCCATCATCAAAACAAGTCAATATCAATTGAAATTATTCGTTATAAATGAATATTTGTTGTGATAACAATTCGATTTGTATCTGTCTCTATATATCTTTTCTCGTTCATTTTCATATCTCTTATTGGTTGGTATCTGTATCTATTCCTCCCTCGGGGAGTTCCATTTAAACAAGTCCATCGATTCTCAGCGTGAAGAGTACTTAAAGAAGTGCTGTGTTCCTCATTCTTTCAGGCGTTTTCCCTGTGTTAACCTCATCAATAACTGGTTACATTTTAAGCTTGAACAATTGACTAATTGAGGATTCTGATGCTCGACAGGTACCCCTATGAGGTCATCCAGGAGATTGCCGATTTCATCACCAAGGGAGCCGGCGTACGCCCCAAGATCGGTATTATCTGCGGATCTGGCCTCGGTTCACTGGCCGATATTATCCAGGATGCAAGGATCTTCGAGTATGAGAAGATCCCCAATTTCCCGGTGTCCACCGTGGAGGGACATGCCGGCAAGTTGGTGGTCGGTACTCTGGAGGGTGCCACTGTGATGGCCATGCAGGGTCGATTCCACTTCTACGAGGGTTATCCCCTGGCCAAATGCTCGATGCCGGTGCGTGTGATGAAGTTGTGTGGCGTGGAGTACCTGTTCGCCACAAATGCGGCGGGTGGCATCAATCCGAGATATGCCGTGGGCGACATTATGCTGATGCACGACCACGTCAATATGCTCGGCTTTGCCGGAAACTCACCGCTCCAGGGACCCAACGATCCACGTTTTGGACCACGCTTCCCAGCTCTGACCAACTCGTACAACAAGGATTTGATCAACAAGGCCATCGAGATCGGCAAGGCCATGGGCATCGAGTCGAATGTCCATGTCGGCGTCTATTCCTGCCTGGGCGGACCCAACTACGAGACCATTGCCGAGCTGAAGGCGCTGCGCATGATGGGCGTGGACGCGGTGGGCATGTCCACCGTCCACGAGGTGATCACTGCCCGGCACTGCGACATGAAGGTGTTCGCCTTCAGCCTGATCACGAATAAGTGTGCCACGGAGTACAGCGACAAGAAGGACGAAGAGGCCAACCACGATGAGGTATGTTTATACCCTTTAAGGATATTCTAATTCTAGTCAGAAGCTTGTAATACCGTGAAAAAATCATTTCCGACCCTATAAACCGTATATATTCTTGATCAGCATTAATAGCAGAATCGATTTAGGCAGGTCTGCAAAAAAAATAAATTTTCGATTTTTTTTTAAATTTTCCAAATTTTATAAGGGGTTACATCGTTAAAATTGTCAAAATGTGGCAAAAAATTGAATTTCTTAAATTGAAGAACTGAGTATGCAGATTTGTTGGCGCTATAAAAACTAGCACAGAACAGCTTTTCGAATTGAAATTAACGCATTTTTGGCTTAATTGTGATGTTTGAAAAACACTGGTTATTTTAAGAAATTGCCTGTTTTTATGCCATTTTGCAGGTTATTAAAATTTTAGTCAGAATCTCTTAGCAGCATCAACAAACGCGGTATGCAGATTTGTTAGCGCTTTAAAAACTAGCTCAAAACAGCTTTCCGAATTGAAATTTATGCATTTTTGGCTCAGTTATGAAGTTTGAAAAACACTGATTATTTAAAAAATTGTCTGTTTTTATACCTTTTTTTTAGGGTATTAGTATTAATCAGAAGCTTTTAAAACAATGAAGGAATCATTTCCGACCCTATAAATCATATATATTCTTGATCAGCACGAACAGCGGAATCGATCTAGCCATGTCTTGCAGAAAAACAAATTTTTTAATATTTTTTCAAAATTGCAAAAAAAGATAAGGGGTTAAAATTGTCAAAATGTGGCAAAAATTGAATTTTTTAAATTGAAGAACTGAGTATGCAGAATTGTTGGCGCTAGAAAAATTAGCACAGAACAGCTTTTCGAATTGAAATTAACGCATTTTTGGCTTAATGATGATGTTTGAAAAACACTGATTATTTAAAAATATTGACTGTTTTTATGCCATTTTGCAGGTTATTAAAATTTTAGTCAGAATCTCTTAGCAGCATCAACAAACGCGGTATGCAGATTTGTTAGCGCTTTAAAAACTAACACAGAACTGCTTTCCGAATTGAAATTTATGCATTTTTGGCCCAGTTATGAAGTTTGAAAAACACTGATTATTTAAAAAATTGTCTGTTTTTATACCTTTTTTTTTAGGGTATTAGTATTAATCAGAAGCTTTTAAAACAATGAAGGAATCATTTCCGACCCTATAAATCATATATATTCTTGATCAGCACGAACAGCGGAATCGATCTAGCCATGTCTTGCAGAAAAACAAATTTTTTAATATTTTTTCAAAATTGCAAAAAAAGATAAGGGGTTACATCGTTAAAATTGTCAAAATTTGACAAAAAATTGAATTTTTTTAATTGAAGAACTGAGTATGCAGACTTGTTGGCGCTATAAAAATTAGCACAGAACAGCTTTCCGAATTGAAATTAATCAATGTTTGGCAAAGTTGTAAGTTTTTCTTACTTTAGTTTGTTTAAAAAATGTCATACTAAGTTATTGTTGAATGTCAATGAAAATATTCATTTCATTTAGTGTTTGTGGCGGCATAAAATGTCCAACACTTTGACGATTGCAAAAAGTCGTATACATTCTGAATCGCTATTAAAATCCTAGTTAATGAGTACCAAAAACATGAGAACAAAAATTTTGACAATTTTAGCCAATTTTTGAAAATTTTAAAAGGGGTTACATCGTTAAAATTTTCAAAAATCGTCAAAAATTTTTATTTTAAACTGAGCTTGCAGATTTGTTAACCTGATAAAAACTAGCAAGGAACCGCTTTCCGAATTGAAATTAATCAATTTTTGGCTAAGTTATGCGTTTTTAAAGTTTAAGTGGTTAAAAAAAATATATAAAATAAAATTATAGATAAATATCAAAGAAAAAATGCAAATACTTTAGTGTTCCTGGTGGCAATTAATGTGCAAAAAGTCGATGACTGCTCAAAGACATGAAAGAATTTGTCTTCTTAGTTTTTGCCAAATTCTAAAACTTTTAAAAGGGGCTATATTATTAAAATTTTCAATAATTTTCATTTGAATTTGTACTGAAAATATCAAATTTAAGGCCTTGTTGCATTTGCCTTAAACTACAACATCTTTTTTACAACAACATAAATTTAAAACAATAAAAATTTACAGTAAAAAAGAAAAATAAAATACAATAACATAACAGACAAATTTAAATTCGAATTTAAATAAACTATCCCGCCATATCAGTTAACCGTCGAATTTAAACAAATTCAAAGTTCCCGCCATGTAATGCCGATCGGTTGCCGCAGTGCCGCCAAATTTGAATGCGTATTTAAATAAACGATCAGTTGGCGCCTTATAGTTAACAGCATAAAATGTTGTTTTTGTAAATTTTAGTTGTTGTAAAATGGTTTTTGGTTTTTGTTGTTGAATAATTGTTGTTGTTTTTGTAGGCTATAACGGCGCTTCGATTTGCACATTTTCAGTTATTTAAGTAAATTTAAAGTTCCCGCCAGGTCACGCCGATCAGTTGCCGCAATGTAAATAGCCGCCAAATTTGAATTCGCATTTAAATAACCGATCAGTTGGTGCCTTATAGTCAAAAGCAAAAAATGTTGTTTTTGTAATTTGTTGTTGTTGTAAAATGGTTGTTGTTGTTGTAATTTGTTGTTAAATAATTGTTGTTGTTGTTGTAGGCCATGCGGACGCTTCAAATTGGTCAAAAATCAACGATTTCAGGTTTCAGATACCAGGCGAACAGAAAGCAGCAGCAAGCAGCTGAATTTTTGACATGCAAGGGTTGCCGGATCGATGGCATATGCGGTCGATCCGGTAGCATTGGCCAGTCAAACGTTGCCGGATCGATGGCGTATGCGATCGATCCGGTAACATATGCCAGTCAAACGTTGCCGGATCGATGGCATATGCGATCGATCCGGCAGCCCTTGCCTGTGAAAAATTCAGTTGCTTGCTGCTGCTTTCTGTTCGCCTGGTATCTGAAACCTGAAATCGTTGATTTTTGACCAATTTGAAGCGTCCGCATGGCCTACAACAACAACAAAAACTCTTACAACAACAACAACAACTCTTCTACAACAACAACAAAAATTTACAAAAACAAAAGAAAATAATATATATGTATACTTTTTATTTCAGGTTATGGCCGTGGCAAAGAATAGGCAGAAAGCCTGCTGCGAACTGGTTTCCCGACTCATCCGGGAGATCCACACGGCGTCCGCATAGACGGCGAATGAGGGGAATAGCGTTGGATTCTGAACTTTAACTAAAATTTACAGTATAAGGCTAGGGAATAGTTTAACTAAATTATGTTAAATAAAATAAAAGAAAGAAAACAATCGAAAATGTGGTTTTATTTATAACAGACAATTATACCCTTTCCTAAGCCAAAGTAGTAAAAAACAACCATAAATAATACAATAAAATGTTATTTAATAAAAATTAAATATACGTAATAGTTTTTAACATGATAAAAACACGAATACATAGGCATCGATATTAAATTAGGGAAATTAAACTAGCATTAAAATGATATCGAACTGAAAACAATGAAATAACGAGAACTCGTTGCGCTTTTCCTTATTTTTTTTTGGTGTTTGCAGAGATTAAACAAATGCAATTTTGTTAAAACATTAAAAGTATGAAGTTAAATAATGGTAAATGGTAAAACAATTCAACTTAAAATTATATACAGGTAAAATCGAAGGACTCGGACCGTTTGTCGAATGAAGCGAGTTTGAAATTTATTGCAAAGGCATACATATGTATGTGTTATGTATTATGCGTAAAATAGAGAGAGTACATGGGGATATGCGCACGTGTGTGTGTATATGCTATACTATATAGGCCTAGCATGTAGAATACGATATAGATATACGATCTGTCTGTGCCCGTTGCAAAAGCATCGCCGCCTACAAAAAAGTGCTTAGAAAATTGTATTGTTTTGTGATTGTGTTCAAGTCTATTCGGTTGCATTGTGCCTCTCTCCTAGAACAGCCCGCGCTCCTTCTTGAGTTTGGTCTGCTTCCATATGGGCAGTTGCTCAAACTCCGCCCGGCTGCAGCCCAGCGCCACCTGGAAGTCCTCGGCGTTTAGGTAGACCTCCAATCGAGTGGGCTCCACTCCCTCGGGCAGGGGTCGTGCCTTGAGCACCTCCAGCGGGTATTCGGTCTGTGTCATTTGTGCCAGCATTTCTGCTATGGTTATCGGAGCAACGGTGCGGCCATCCTGCAGGAAAAACATTAAATAGATTAACTTTCCTTTGTATTCCTGGTACCAATTTACCTCTTCGTTGATCTCCCGCACATCGGACCGCTCCGTCCAGTCGGGAAACAGCGCCTTGAAGGCCAGTGGCTCCAGGCCTGCCCACACCACCTGACCCTTGACGCCGTGGAAGGCCTCCTTCTCGTTCTCACCGTGCTTGGCACGCCAATAGCCGACGGCTGTCTCGAGGGCAGCACGTCTCTCTGAGATCCATCGATTAACTCCAGCCCGATTGTCGTTGGTGGGACTGCTTCGCTCATCGGTGTTTACTAAAGTCAGAACATAAAAATTATTACCAATATCTAATAAAATACAAAAAACACTCACTCTTTACATCCTCTAGGGGCCACCAGCCCATCCAGAGCCACAGCTCGTCGCCATTGTCCAACAAAAAGATCGTGGGCTGACGAGCATTATAGAGCTGATTCTGGCTGAAGGGATATGGACTGTGCAGATCCTGGCAGCGCAGGGGATCGCTCAGTTCGATTGCTTTAAACACGCCCTGGGTGCTGGAGAAATTAAAGATCCTTATTTGGTAATCGAACGATTTTGTGGACTTCAGCTGGCTGTCATAATCAACAGCTTCAGCTGTTAATCCCAGTGCCTTTTTGCAGTCCTCGTTCTCAGAACCCTCGTCCTGCTCTGTGAGGTTGGCTTTCTCGCTGCTAAAGAGATCCTTTGGCAGCTGCTCGACAATATCTTGGGCAGCTTTCAGGGCCACAGATCGTGTGTGAGGAGCACTCTTGGATCCATGCCAGACAATTACGCTTCCTTGGCTGCCATGGATCAGGAGCATTGAGCTGCGAGAGCGCAGTTGACGGGAGTGGCAGTCCACTTCCTTGATAAGTGTTTCCTCGGTGACGTTTCCCTGAATTTGGTAGAGCCGCCACTGACTGCGCCTCTCCAGGCACTGCTCCTTGCGTCCACGGTGCTGCCACAGCTGGCGGAATAAGCGAACAAAGGCTGTGCATTCATCGCCTTGCGACACCCTCAACTGGGCGCCCTTCTCCTTATCCAGCTCAACGGTTAGCAGTGCCGCTGCACCCTTCTCATTGGCACTCGAGTCCTGACCCTGCCAGGTGAAATACACGCACCTATCCCGTCCAACGGTGCTCCTATTCGAGACCTTGCCGCTCAGCTCGCGTACTGTGACGGAAATCTGGTAGATCCAGCGAACTATGTAGCTTTCCGAGGAGTAAAAGTGACCGTAGTCCTCGCGTGCAGGGGCCGCATCAAAGTTGAATTCGTGGATCTGCCATTTGTCCGTGGACTTGGTGATCACATCGAAGTGGCGCATCGTATCGGTGTCGTAGTAGAAGTTTCCACGTCCCAGATTTGACTGCTCCAGCACCAGATTCGGTTCCTCGTAGGGTTCACCCTTGTGCAGAGCAATTCCATTCAAAGCTCGCACCACATGGACGCCGTTGGTAAGGTAATCCTTCTCCAAGTCCTCGCGCTCCAGCTCCGGCCAGTCGCTGAACTTTTCCTTAAACAGCACCGTCTCCATGTTCTGGGTGATCTTCCCGAGGACACACCACTCCGGGCGCTGAGCGGTGCGCTTGGCGTATTTGGTATTTTCACGACGACCCACAATTGAGACATAGTTCAGCGGGTTCAAGTAGCACTCGGCATAGTCTGCTCCATTCTCGGCACCAAAGTGTTCCTGCGCCAGTCTCATGGCCGCTCGCTTGGCGTCCGAGGAGGCGTTCTTGCCGTTCCACACGTACAGCTCACTGCCAAAGTCAAAGATTAGCACCTTGCGCGTGTCCAGCATGTCCACCTTGGGTATACAGCCCCAGTACTTGTCCAGGGGAACGAGAGCCTCATCCTTGAACTCGTAGATCTTGTTCGTCTCAATCAGACTGCTCTCGAACACATCGTCCTCGTCGGCATGACCGCTGTCTGAAATCTCCGAGGTATCATCCTCCTTCTTTCCCAGCAACTTCCAGAACTGACGCCACTGCCGCTCGTTCAAGTACTTGCCATCGGTGAGTATCACCTCCTGGCTGGCGGTGCACCCAAGATCCTTGTTCTCCAGAATGGCAGCGCAGATCTTCTTGCTGCGCGAGATCTCAATGACATTGGCAAAGGAGCCGACATAGCGGAACAGCTGAGATCCGGCAACCAAAATGAAGCAATCCCCGCGATTTAGTGAGGTGTGCGTAGGCTCCACCAGTCGAGTTTGGACGTGAGTGCGTCCCTTTACGTGAAGTAGCATCACCGGCTTGTGGGGCAGCCACATCTGCTGCAGGGGAATCGACGAGGAGCGTAAAGCCACCGACTTGAAGTCCTCTATGGAGGCCAGGCCGGCAATTGCCTCGGCAGCCAGGTTGGTATTCTGGCCATCTAAGGGAAAAAGAAACTAGGTTTAGTTGGAAATCTTAGCACGGAGATTAAACCCAACTCACATGACTCCATCTTGAGGCGCCTGAGCTCACGTTCGGCCACGCCCGTCTTCATTTCTGTGTACTCCGAGGTAATGTCCTCACGTGCAGCCAGACTCTTGAGAGGATTGCGGGCTGCCCGGCGTCCCTTGGGTCCCTGAACATGGCGTTTGCTTACCAAGCTAAAATAAACGGGAATTTTGAATTTCGAAGAGATCCAAATGGAATTGATTGCTCTTGCCATAAATTCTATTCATTACTCACCGCTCTGTGGGTTTGATGACATCAAAGGCGCTAATCTCCAGCTCCACGCTCTCCTCCAGCTTAGGCTTCGTGGCAAAGAAGTTCTCGAAGGTCTCCTTGTCGTCGAGACGTGGCACCTGAATCCTGGCTCCCACATTTGTGGGTGCAGCCGCACTCTTGGTGTTGGCCAGCTCCTTGTTCTGTTTGGCATTCTGCGGTGAGGTGCGTTCCACATCTGAATCCGAGCTGCTACTGCTGCTGTTGGAGCGACTCAGACTGGGCACCTCCTCCTCGGGATTAACGCTCAAGCTACGGAGAGCTGCCTTGTTATTGGTATTAGCAGTGCTAGTGGTCACCATCATGGAGGGGCTCTTGGCCAAGCCCAACTGTGGCTGATTGGCGCTGCGCACCTCCAGCATGGGACACTTTTTGGCTGCATCATTAGGCGAACGCTCGAATTGTAGCTCCACAGGGGATTGGGCCTTCTTTTGCAGTCGGCCAGCGACTGTGAACTTCTTGGCATCGGTTTGCTCTAGGGAATGAAGAAGAGTTATTAGTATCATTTGGTACCTTTAATAAAGAGAGATCATACACTCACCTATCCGCTGCTTCCAGTTCTCCGAGTTGCACTTGAGCTTGCTCAAGCGATCGGAGACCTTGCCGCCCTCAAGGCTGGTGGGGATCAGGGGCGACGGTGGCAGCGGCTTGTCCGACAGCGAGTGGGCCAAAGATAGCGATTCCTGAAATGCCAAATAGAGAGGGACACGATCTTGATTACACACATTCACTTTCCAAATTTTGTGGAGATTAAGACCTCCTACGCTTTAGGCCCAAATATGAACGCGTTTATAAAGAAATTAACCAAATTTTAATAGCCGCAAAATATGGTCAACATACGCGGCCATATCTGCTTGGGTTGTTCCCGAAAACCCGATGACTAAGCACCTGCCACCGTTAGAGGGTTAAATTAGATTGTCAACACGGGAAAAGCTTTTACCAGTTTTACTTTTTCCATGCCGGCTATTTATTAGCTTTGTTTGTTCTCGCTATTAGCTGTTTATTTCCCTGGCACACCTCGACGCTCAAAACGCTAAATCTGAATGCGAATCTGAAGGCCTCGGTGCCAAGTACGCTCCATTAGTGACCCGCGATGGATGCGCAGCGCAAATGTATATAATATCTGGAAGCGAACTTGGTTGAGGGGCCTGCTGCCAGCACAATGCCAATCTGGCGACTGCCAATCGCCGCTTTGGCTAATTGCGCACCTATTTTGCTAGACTCTGGGTGCTCCGCCGGGAGAGCTCGAACTTGGGAGACAGTGCGAGTCATACGATTAGATAAGGGGTAGTGCACTCATAAAAAAGGTCTGATAGGTAAACAGTTTTATAAAGCTCTGGAAACTCTCTTTATGGGTCTTCCCGAACTGATAAATTGTTGTCTAAAATTGCTAAATAAATACCACATTTGGGTCTACATAAGTTTATATAAACTTTATGACTTTTCTATAACATCTAAACTATAAAAGATTGATAATATCATCTATAACATCTAAACCATAAAAGATTAATAATATCATTCAAGAGTGATTAAACTTTTATATTTTGCTTGATATTTTGATTCGATTTTGATTAAAAAGAGGGAGAAATAAATAAAATATCAACTATAGACACCTTTCGCTTGCATAAAAAGCAATAAAGTCCTGAATGTTTATGTATTTGTAGAATGTATGCTTAATTATAAATTAAGCTACAGGATAAGTATTAGCCATAGCTGACAGTCCTGAATATATTAATATATCATTTTCATTTTAATAAGAAAAGTAACTATTATTTCCCCATTTAGTTATCAGTTTTTCTGTCAGTGCTTTGCGCACTCTCAGTTCAGCGAAAAGATAAGAAACAAAATTAAGAAGCTACCGATATGGGGAGTGGCATACTATATATATTCCTGATCGATGCCGCCCGTCTTTTGTTTACATTCTCAAAAGTGTCAGTGCAAGGGAATAACTTAATTCCTGTGTTTACACATGCTTTCAGCATAAGTTATAGTCGCGACTGGGAATATCGATAAAACGTTTTTTTAAGCAAACAATCTTATCTTTACAGTTGGTTTACTTGTGTTGTTTATTGTCACCGTAAAGGCACACTTTTTGGGGTGAAGTTCATAAAAATTAGCTTATCTCAGATATTTATTGTAAGAGCTTATGCAATGTTTAGGAATTTCTGTTTATGTTTGCCAGAGTTTTTGACCCAATTTTTAAGGGAATTACTACTAGTTACTGAGTTGTATTATCGGTAATTAACATGAATTAAAATAATTTAAAGCAGTCTATATTATTCATAAAATAAAAAGTCAACCTTGAGCACTCTCCACTCTTTCACACTTGATTTCTGATGAATTTCAGCGTGTGTCATACACTGCCTATCAATGAATTCGAATTCGAAACCCTCTCGGAATGAATCATCCAAAAAATAAACTGATAAAACTCGTAAATAAAACTGGGTAAAAGCAAGCTGAAACACGGAAAAAACAAAGAGCAAACGATTATTTGATTAACCGCCGAATCGAAGGGTTTCTAAAAGGTAGAATGCCTCACACAAATTTAAAAGAATTTTAGAGAATTCTTCCGCACCTGAACAAGCCCAATAAAGCAAAGCAAACAAATACTTCAACATAAAAGGTATGACGCCATAGAATCTTAGTTAATAAATGGCAATTTATAATATTTTATTGGCTTTGCTCGCCTCTGGTTATTTGCTTATTTGCGTCGTTTTATTGACATTTCGATTTTGCATGTGCTGTATGTATACATATATATTTAAAACTATAGTGAAAATGTTAAAATTAGCATATGAATACACAGCCATTTTTCTGTATTTGGCAGAATTTGGCAATCGGCAAAAGCCTGAAACTAGCCCAGACCAATTAGGCCAAGTTAAGGTTGCCAAGTTCAAGTGCGTGGGGAATGTCTGGGCATCTGGCCAATTCTGTAGTTTTAAATGCATCTAAATAAAGTGGAAATTTACCCCGGAACTCGAATGTACATATATCCATAGTTCATTGAGAGAAGAGTGAGTGTCCCATTCAACTCGAGGAATACTTGATAAAGTCTGTTATTGTTATTGCAACAAGTTGCAAGTTGCATTCAGTAATGTCCAAGGTTCAATGTACTGATAACTAAAATGCCTCAAGCCTTTCTCTGTAGGGTATGGGTCTGGATGATTGTATCTTTTAAGCTCGCCTTTATTATGAATATATGCTTCACTGCCTTTGTTCGCCATCAAATCAATCAAATCAATCAAAAATAAAGCCACAACACAGCTACGAAATTACCTCACATCACAATCATTTTGCGGCGAATACTTTTTCCCATCTCTCCCCGATTTATAATTAATGGTGATCGGTTCAACATTTTGATTTGCGTCAATTTATTTGACAAATTGTGTTTAGGCCACAAGACACGCTCCGATGGTTGGATCTCCTCTCTTTGGTGGCTAAAACTACACAGAAATTGGTGCCAAGCAGATGCAAAATAATGCAAATAACGAATTAATATACACTTCTTCGAGTGCTTCTAGCAACTGTGCACACGAAAATAAATCTGTTTTTATTACGTACATATAATTAGGTTTAATATTGTGGTTTTGCATTTGATACAGTTCGTATTTGTAACATATAAAATATTTAACGATAATACTACAATACAAATTCATAGTGTTTAATTAGTTTAGCAGTACACAGTTCTCTACTCGCTTATGAGATGCTTTGCAATTGCAATTACAAACATTTTGGGCTCTGGACAATAAGATATTTATACACAATAATGGGCTTTACTAAGTACAGGCATTGTTAGCTAATTGCGACTTCAGTTTGGGGGAGTTTTTAACTTTGATTTGCTTAAGTTTCCATCGATTAAGCAAACAAAATGCATAATGGAGGGGCTGGGAAGCTGGGAAACTGGGGGCATGGCAAGGTCTCCCGATGAGATTGAGTCACCGGATCAGCTTTGTTTCATCTTAAAACAAAGGCGGCGATTAGGAATAGTCTTCCGGGTCATATGACTCTGATTTCCTTAAGACTAGAGCTGCAAAAAGATCGCTGTGCAGTGTCTCTGTTATCGAATATTTGTATTAACTCAAAGTATCCTTTTGATAGCATTTACTAGGATCTTTTACAGATCCTTTTCTTTTCTTTTCCGATTTAAAATCGTTCAATTCTTTAATTATTTTGCAGCTCCAAGCCAGACCAAAAGGGGGATGGCACTTTAATATAACCTCCTCCTGCTAATCCCTCATCTGGTTTCGTTTATGTAAGTGGCCTCCTCCACACAGGCGGCCTGCTCTTCGTTGAGGAGATCAGTGATGGAGTAGGCGGAAAGGGGACGCGAGAATCTCCGTTCGGAGAGTATATCATCGATGCAGGTCACCGGTGAGAGACAATGGTTATCCGGACGATCCTCCGACTCTTCGGCACTCCTGGCAATCACTTGAAAGATATCCTCCATGCTGGTCTGCAGGCACAGCGAGGGCGGTTTCCTTCGGAGCACTGGGGATGCTTCGGGTTCCGGGGAGCTGGAGAGCGGCGAAGCTGTCGAGGGTGTGGCCGAAGTGCCTCGAGTCCTCCTCGGAGCCGGGACAGCCATGGGCTCCCAGTCGCTGTGGGTTGGAGCCTTCTTGATTGGCTCCTCCTCCAGTTCCTGCCACAGGTGCATCGTGTGATCGATGTGCTGCAACTGAGCGGAAAGCTGGCTGGCAATCGATGTTTTTCGCGAGGCGCAGGGTGTCGAATCTCGGGACTCATCACTGGCTCCAAACATACGGATCTCCGGGAGCGTTACGGGTGCCACACGGCTCACCTGTCGCGTGTTGCCCGTCTCGAACATTCTGGCAATCTTGGTGACATTGCTGCGCTTCACAGGCGCCGGTGATATCGGTGGCAGTTCCTCCTTGGGTGCAACCTGCTGTCGTTTGGGGTAAACTCTGGTCACCGGCTTCCTGGCCTTGGGTTTGACCTTTCCGGAGGCCTGCTCCTGGGCCAAAACATGGCAGCACAACTCCGGACCGTAGCAGCGATGGAACTTGTTCCTGTTCGCCTCGTAGTCTGCGTCGGCGAAGCGCTTCATCCGCACCAGGGACTTGGGAACGAGGGTGACCAGAACGTAGGTCACCAGCAGGTAAGGCAGCCACTCGGCCCACTCCCATGCCGCCTCCAGGTATTCCGTGTAATCCGACATGCTCCAATGTGCTCCGGTTGTGTCACTACTCAGTTATTTGCTCTTTTGCTATCGCAATTGCAATTCGATTTATTAACTTTTACCTCGCTGATATCTTTTTTGCACTATTTTCTTCTTTTCTGTTCTGTTTGTTGATAAGCGTAACAGTTCTGCTATGACATCACATCACTCTGTTTACGGGGATTGGTTAAATAATGGAATATTTTTTATATATTTATTTTTACAACTGGCATTCGTGGCAGAAAGGGGAGACATCGCGGCAAAATAATTATTTACTTAAGGTTGTTATTTATTTTGCTTTATGTTTCCCGGAACTGCTAAAGTTTTTTTTGTTATTAATGCGGTTTTTTTATTGTTTTTGGGCCTGACATTCACTTGGTTGCAGTTCGGAAAATATGGTAGAATATTTGCTTAATATCCTTTGTAATTTTACAGTGTTTTCCGGAAGTTCTTTACATTTTATGTTTTCTTAACGAAACTTGACTGTATTTTGCAATGTTTTCACTTTAACCTTTTCAAAATCATTTTAATATTAAATATTTAAATAAATTTATAAAATCTACATACTATTCACTCAATTTATCAAAACAAAACACATTTTAAAATTAGTTTTGAAAACTAGAAAATATTGCAAAATTCCATCTAAAGTCTCATATTTTCCTCAACTTTCCAGGAAGCTGGAATTATCCGAAATCCAAAATCCTGAAGTCACACACAACACCCACACCCACACACACACACACACCTTTCGTCCAGTGGTGTCCAACGTGCATTGCACCGTGCGTTGCACTTTGCATTAATATTTATAATTTCTCAAGTGCGTATTTTTATCTTGGCCCCGTCGCCGTCATCCGATATCCCGAGCTTTGCTTATTTATTTAGTTTGCTATTAATTTTTTTATTTCGGTTTTTTGTTTTTTGTTTTTCGGTTTTTGGTTTCTGTTATTGTTTTTGTTGGTTCTTTGACGCCTTTTGTATTCCGTTGCGCCTCGCGGTCGTTTCGTTCTCTTTGGCTCCCCGCTTTAAACTTAAATGCCGACGCCGCCGACGCTAAACTTGACGCTGCCGCTCATCCAAAAACTTAACGAAAGCTGCGCGCGTCGCTCTTTCAGCACTTGGAAAAATTAAGCGCACATAAAATAATATAAATGTGGATTTGGAAAGAAAATATGTTGTTGACACAATTAAATTGTCTTTAAATATTATAAATATGTAAGCAGAGTGCTTTCCTTACATCTTACATCTTTTTTAACAATACACTTTAAGAAAGTATAAGTTTTCTTAATTTTTTTGTACATATATCTGGGAAAATAGGATTTCTTTTCTGATATCCAAAACTATTCCCAGTGTATTCTCTCTCTGACAGCCTCCCTTTTTTTTGGGGAGCTCGCTATCTCTCTCTCTCTCTCTCTCTCTCTCTCTCTCCACCTCTTCGTGGATCTTTGATGCTGTGCCTTCGTCAAGTTTCTTGGCCTCTCCTTTAGCTCGTCTGCTGCACTTGCGCAGAATTCTGTTTTGCAATCTGATGATGCTGTTATATTGTTGTTGCTTTTGTTATTCTTGGTTGGGTCTCCTTGGGTCAAGTAGTTTGTTATTCTGATAAGAACGTGCTGGTGCGAGGGAGCCAGCACGATGGGCAACTTTCATTTCAAAGGAGTTCGCTTGTGAGTTGCGAATTGGAAAAGAGGAGTATGCCCTTAACCCTAGAGTGGTCGGGATTTATTTGCATCTTCCAGAATTTGTATTAAAAATTAAAATTTTTATTTTTGTTAGAAAATATCATCATAATAAATAATATATTGTCCATAATTTGTTAAATTTTAAGTGGAATAATATTTTTTACACAAAATAAATTTATATATGTTGTTTTTTAAGTAAATATTTCTTTGTGCCTTTTAAGATTTATTTCGGTTTCATTCCATTTGGTTATCTCTGTTAAGATTTTATTCGTATTCGTATTAAAAATTTAAAATTTATTAATTTTGGTAGAAAATATCTTCAATATAAATAATGTATTGTAAATCATTAGATTTTTAACTGAAATAATTACTATGTATATTTTTTTTATTTAGTAAATCTTTCTTTATGCTTTTAAAGATTTATTTCAGCTTCATTCCATTTGCTTATCTCTGGCAAAATAAAGTATGTCTGTTAAGATTTTATTGCCCCATTTTAAAGGTGCAAATATTTGCAGGGGTTTCTACATTTCCCTGGCTTGTTGTTTGTTATTATTATAATTATTATTTTGTACAGGTTTATCTGAGACGCGACATATGCAAACAGAGTACGTTGAGGTACTGAAGTGTAAGTGAACTAAATTTAGAACGCCTCGAACAATAACATCTGGGTGCCCCTTTGTGATTTATGGGAATTTATTGTTAATTGTTGATATTGCAGCCCCTTGGCAAAACTGTGTCATCTTTCTGTTAGTTTGTCCCCATCTAATATAAACATTGGCAATACTATATAGATCTGAGTATATATATATGTGTGGAAACACATATGCGCTTTTCAAAACAGATTTTGTAGTGAATAAAGTGAAATGATTATTTCGGAACCATTTGCGTGGGTTTTGGTTCTGTTTCTTTTTCTTGACGATTTGTAATGGCCAAAGAGATTGCGGTCGTCAGTTCTGAGATTTCTTTTTATTTCAAAGATTTTATTTTGACAGTCGTCGCACTTTTTTGTTTGAGAAAGTCTCATTTCTCTCATAGTTGGTGGGTGTGTGGGTCTATGGCCAGCCTTGAAACACTTGTTTATTTATATTTTATTTCTCATAATTTCATATTGCACGGGATCTTTTCTCCAACGAATGCCAGATACATAGATGCAAGAAAAATAAATAAATAAAAAACACTCCATTCGCTTCCTGCTGCATTCGACAGTTTATGCAACTCAGGAAACCGCTTCGCATTACTTTTTATGCAACCCGCAACGGGGGCCTAGTCTTATTTTATTTTTAGTTTGCCGCTTATCAATTTTAATGTCAATTGAAACCGGCAGCGAGTAGTAATAATGCATACTAATAACAATAACGAAACGAAAGTCCGAGTTTTGCGAGTATTGCAATTGGAAATGCCAGGCCGCAGCGAATGCGAACTGTTCGCGTTCAAGTCGCGATTCGTACTGGATCGTAAATTTTCCCCCTGAGACGTCAAAGCTGTAGCTTTGACTCGAAATCTTCCGAAGACCCGGCTTTTTTCCAGTGAGAAAGAGAGAGAGAGAGAGGGAGAGGGAGAGAAAGAGAGAGTAGCCAAGTGAAGAGAGAAGACAGGCTGGGAAGACGTCAGCTAAGCGCAAATAAGGAGGCTTTTTAAATTAAACTAAGCGTAATAAACAAGATCATTGTGGGCATACCAGAAAGCACAAGAGATCTCAAGGGAAGGAATCTGCCAGATAAAGTATCTACAGTTTAAGAAATTCCCTAATTAATAATTTTCTAAAAATATATATATTATATTCAACATGATTATTAAAATAAACATATCTTTAGTGTACACATTCGTGATTGGAATGTGACCACAGCAAAAAAAAAAAAAAAGGGACAGCATTTTTTTCGGGGCTGGGCATTCAGAGAAACATCTGCCCAAGACGATGATTCACCAGTGAAACATGCAGCGGAAAGAAGGCCTAATGCAAAATTAAAATTACTCAAACTAAAAATAAATTCGTGCAAGTTCATTGTGATTAAAGAATGATGCAAGTGTCTAAAAATTCAATAGCATTGAGCTAAGAAAAAGAAGATAAAATAAAGGTAACACAGATGGAGAGCAATGAAAATAGGGGACATGCTGCTACTACTCCACCTTATCTCCGCAAATAATGAATCACACACATTGTGGCAATAAAAATAATCAGCAATAAGCAGGCAGGCAGCCGCCGCCAGAAAAATGTAGCTTGTAGATACAACAATCCAGATACAGATACAGATACAGAGTGGAGAAAACAGAGGGCAAGAGCGCGCAGTTGATTTTAGAAGTTTATGAACAACATCGGCAGGGGTTACTACTGGCCCTCCACTAATGAACAAGTACAGCAGCAACTATAGCTGGAGATGGAGCCCCAACAATGATAATAATGAAGTAGCTGGAGGAGCTTTGGGAGGAGCATCGCTGCAAAAACTGCAAGTATATCAAATTTACAAAACAATTTACAACAGCCCAAGCCAAGTTAAGAGAAGGCGAAGCGGGGCGAGGCCTGCAGCTGGAAGATGAGCACGTTCAAGATCGGAACGGAGATCAAATGCCGTGGACCAGACACAGACACTGTCCCGAGCACAACAACCACTGCCAGTTAGAAGCGGACCACAAGAAACCTTCGCTAGCCTCCCTTTTTTCTATACCCTTCCCCAGGGTATTATCATTTTGGTCAGAAGCTTGCTACGCCATGAAGGAGTCATTTCCCACTCCATAAATCATATATATTCTTGATCTGAATCAACAGGCGAATCTTTCTAGGCATGTCTGGAAGGTAAAATTTCGAAACTTTTTCAAAATTTTATAAGGGTTTACATCGTTAAAATGGAAAAAAAAATTGCTTAAAAATTGAATTTTTTTAAATGTTAAATTGAGTATAGAGATTTATTAACCTAATAAAAACTAACATAGCAAAGCTTTCCGAATAAAAATTAATGCTTTTTTGGCCTAGTTATGAGATTTTTAAACTTTAATTTGTGGTAATTATCGATTCAAAAATGTGTTTACTTAGTTATGATAGAATTCCAATTCCATCCCATAATTGAATTGCAAAACTGCAGAGTATATAAACCTCGGCTTCTCGCAGCTAGTTTAGTTTTTGATGTTGTATTTCTTGCTGCACTTTAAATAAAAATTAACAAGCAAGAAGGTATATTTAGAAACTTATGAATACTTCTAAAACTTCAAGTCAAATTTCCCTATTTTAATTATTTGTGTCTCTTGATTTATTTATTTATTTATATAATAATATATATAATTTAATGTGTCTCCTGATATTATATTTAATTGATGGTTTTGTATAAAATACTACATCTTGAATACAGATTTCAAGATGTATATTATTTATATATTAAGTTTTACCAGAAATGAATTCTTTCTCATAGTGTATGGTAGGACTAGTCCAATGTGGCTGCTGTTTTAACTGATGTTACTTCTTCAGTCACAGCCCACAAGGCAAGTTTAGAAAATTATGGCAAAATGGAAGTTGGCAGACGCCTCGAAACTGGAGGAGCAGGAGCAGGAGCAGGAGCGAGTGCCTCTACCTAGATACATTTATATTTCTAGCTGCCCTGCTGGGGCACCGAATCTCCTGGATGCTGCCTTCATTATTATGCGCTTTCCAGCTTTCTACGATCTTGGCCTCTTAGATCTTAGGATCTTTCTCTCTCTCGATGTCTGTTTTGACACTCTCGCCCTGGGGACTTGGTGACTGAGTTGGCCAGGCTAATTGCGCATACGCCACCTGGGACATATGTCTGTTAAACGGGGCATGAATCCGACTGAATGCGACTACGCAGATCCATCGGAGCAGAGAAAAGTGGGAGAGTCGGCGGTGCCCTAAGAACGCCAAGCAAGACAGAAATTCATCTTAATTATTAATAAATTGCACTATAATGGGCGTCAAGTGTCGTGTGGCGGAAAATGAGGGTAGAACTTTTGAGGAGGAAACTCTATCACTTCCAGATGATGAATGTGTTTTTTCTTTCTAAATATATGCCCCCAATGACCTTGTTCCACTGTAGTTTTTTTAAGAACACTGATCAAAAAGTACAATACAAAGAAAGCAAAATAAAAACTTTGAAAAATTATAAATAATAGATTTAGAATATATAAAAAAATGACATCGTTTGAAGTTAAATTCTTTGACAATATATCCAAATATATATCTCAGTGTATAAAACAAACTTCCGATTATCTTGTAATTTGCTGACAATAATAACAACAAGAGTGATAACCGAAACAGAAACAGCTGTAGGAACAAAAACAATAACAACGAAGCCAAGAAAAGCAAACCACACTTGAGGCATCCATTTAAGAACTCATTTTCTGGAAGAGAAGGGCAACAATTTGAACTTTGTTTGATGTGTGTGTGTGTGGGTCAGAGAAAGATCGTTTTCCCAACTATCCGGCGAGATGATGAGATGGAATGACTAAGCCCATCCAAGACCAAGCTCGACGACGTCGTCGGTGTCCCCTTAGTAATTAAACGTGATTACTCGGGCAATTGCATATATATACACATATAGTTGGGGGATGGGAAACCAAGGGCGGGGAAACCCGCATAATTATGAACCAGAAGTAACCGTTTAATGGCAGAAAAGAAAGGGAGTTGGGGAACGGGTTCACTAAACCCCATGTCGCGTCGCTAAAAGCTAGCAGTTTGGCTAATTGACAGTCACCAAACGACGTTCAATTTTGATTCGCCAAGTGCCCATGCCCATAAATAATGCGACAAAAGTGGTAAAGACTTTCGGCTGGCTGAGTGAAAACAAACATTTGCAAAGCCAAACTTGCACTTCCCCAAAAAAACAAGGAAAAAATCAGCAAAAAAGGTGCAAAAAGTTCGATTTCGTTTGGAAAGCGATGCAAGTGGCGCCCCTATGAGATAGTTGCCGCCTAACAGTATGCAGCATTTACTCTGGCTCTTATACAAGTGTGTAAAATCCATGTAAAATACTCTTATACAAAATGTAAAGTTAGGTAAAGTAATGTGTGCAATTTTCTTTTGAAAGTTTTTTAAATATTAAAATTTAAATATACAGAAAAATATATAGAAATAATTAGACTTAGAATATAAAAACTAGAAAGAAAATTAAATTCAAGAAGCCGAAATTTGTGCACATTTGCCATTTCAAAATAGAATTATGAGATCCAATCGATTATCGACCATAACTAAGCTTAAAATATTTATATTTGCATTCTTCAAATCGATATTTACTTATTTTTGTATATGAAACTTTTTTTTTGACAAATCAAAGCTTAAAATACTTATAAATACACCAAAAAAGCATTGATTTTAATTCGGAAATCTTTTCAGTGTTAGTTTTCATTAGGTTAATAAATCTGCAGCCTGAATTCAACATTAAAAAAAAAAAATACAATTTACATAACTTTTTTTTTTTTTGTTTTTTCAATTTTAGCAATGTAACCCCTTATAAAAATTTGAAAATATTTAAAAATTGTTTTTCTCCCAGACATGCTTAGAAAGATTCGCTGATCAAGAATATATATGATTTATAGAGTCGGAAATGACTCCTTCACTTTACAAGCTTTTGACTTAAATTATAATACCCTGCATGAGTATTAAAATCATTTATATCAGTTCTTTTATTAATATTGCAATCATGGCAAATATTATTTGCAAGCTTTAAAGGAGTTCATTCTTATCTGTAAATTTTTATAGATACCATGATCTACTTTCCTTGCAGGTTAGCTTGGTGACTAAGGAATATTCTGATTATTCATAAACAAGATACAAATACATCTTATCTGGCGAATCACTCTTCCAGTTATGTCATTTCCCTAGCCCACAAAGAGAGATGTAAGTCACACAACCATGTCTTCGGCTGCCACAACTCCACACCCAGGTAAGTTCCTACTCGATCGTGGTTGGTATCACTTGCACTTTTCGCATTATTATGTCATTGCCGTCAGGTTTAACGCTCAGTTGCCATTGCACGAACAACGGGCGAGGCATTGCACAAATAGCAGAGGAAAGCGCAACGTTAATAAACAAAACGATTAGCAATAAGGAAGCAATTTTCACGCAATTGCGATCGAGATCGAGATCGGGATCGGGATTTGAGATTCAAGAGATCCCAGGTGATCAAGATCCGTTGCGGTCCACAGCCGCCACATGCGTGGCTGCTTAACCCACAGCGGAATTCAGGGGATGCACAATAAAAAAAATGTTTTTACATGACTAAAAACCTTAAAATTATAAGATTAATTAAACGAAGAAATAACTATAGAGGTGAAAACAATTGAAATAGGGCTCAAAGCTATGCAATTTAAATGTTTCAGGTTCCTGATTGGTAAGTAGCATCTTTTTTGACCTCATTTTAAATATTCTCAAAGCAATTCAATCACTATTGTATCCCTTACTTTATAATTAACTTGTCTTTAAATATTGTATTTTCGTTTTCTTCAAGTGTACCCAAGTATCTTTAAGATGCGCAATATTTACAAGTGCTGAGTACTCACGTTCACGAAGTTTTCACGTCGCACATCGTCGACTTCATCGCGCTTGGAGATGCGCTTCCTCCAATCGTCCTCGCCGCTCTTCTGCAGCGCCGCCAAACGCTCCGCAATGGAGCCGGTCTTGGCGATCGAGAGTGAGCGCTGATCGGGGCCCATGACCTGGATAAATGGATGAATTGATTGATTATTGCATTCGATTATAGTGGATTAGCGCGAGCGTGCACGGGTGGCACAAAGTCACATGTGAATCGATTTAATTGACACTGGGTCAGGTACAATTAGATGAAAAGAAGGGGGAACTGATAATGTACTAGACTTATATAGTATATTTATAGTATATCCAAGAAAACGTTTATAATTAAAACAATTAACATATTCATAACATATTAATTGTCTCTAAATCGATTCCACATTTCTATATAAAATTTATACTAACCTCAGTTGATGATCTTTGCACACCTTTGAGGAACTCAGGCAAAGCCGTTGGATGCGTTGAGTCTCCTCCCGAAGCTTCGTCCTGCTCCTGATATAGTTGCTTCTTTGGTGATTCCTTTGCTGATGTGCTACTAGTTGTGGGTGTCTCCTCCTCCTCCTTGGCTACATGACGCAATTTGACAAAGCCGCCGCCGAGGGGAAGGGGTGGTAGCTGGGGGCCAAGACCGAGGGGGGCCGAGATGGCCGAGTGACTTTTGCTTTTCGCAACAAGATTTCTGCAAGAAAAAAGATGCAAATGGGATCGTTAAATGCTGTTGAAAATAGCTCAAGAGACTGGCAATTAAGTTATATATTATGGGGTAATAAATTTAAACAAGAATTAGCATTTAAAATGTAAAAAAAAATATATATATATAAATGGAATGTAGAGAAACTTGTATAAAGTTTATAAACAGATGAAAGATACTGCATATTCGCCGGTTACAAATGCAATCAGGTAATGGCTAAAAACGTGCGTTTTTCCTCAATGGACTCGCCACAATCCGTTCCCATTTTCCCCCACACACAAAACCATTAATAGGAAACTCGTGACATGGCGTTTTCCCAGCCACTAATGAGCAAGGCCTTATTTGTTCATCGTCCCCCTTGGAATAGAATGCACAGGAAGCGGCGATCGTTGAATCGACAGGCGAAGAGGAGGTTTTGCCTTTTATTTTTCTGTTTCTGAGATTTTGTATTTCTTGTGCTTCTTTCCCGCCAAACCAAGGCCCAAGTAAGAGCCAGAGTCAGAGTCAAAGCCAACTTTCTCCTTTAATAGAGGACGGGGACCATCCATGGCCATTTATTAAGCGCTGGGCACCCAGCGGTTTTCCTCCTAGATGGCCATGGAATTTTCTTCTTGGTCGCCGGATTGCATTGGATTGGATCGGTTATTGTTATTTCTTATGGCAGAAACCCATTTTTATTGCCTCGTCAGACAGATGTTAACGTAAACGAACCGCGGGAGTTTAATGAGACAAGTTGATTGCTCGCGGGATTATCCTCGAAAGTATTAAGCCTCCAAAAAGCAACAAACTGACATTTGAAATGAAGTAGAAAATGTGTTAGATATTTTGATTTATTGGTAATATTATATTCTTAAATATTTGTATTAAAATTGCCACACATCCCTTTGAAAGTAATATACATATTGTTAGTATTTATTTCTAGACTCTCTTAGTTGTATTTCCATTGATAAATCTATGACTAGAATCTTATAAATATTTAACAATTGTGTTGCTTGTTATAAATGGCATAGAATTCAACTGGAATCTTTGATCTTTGATCTATTGCATAACGCTATACTCCACTCGGCACTTCCATTGATTAAAAGCGGGTCTTTGTCTCAGCAAAACGAGATTCCAGATTCTATCTGTGTATCTTTGGCAAACTAAAAATTGCCTCACAGGCGTTGCCTCTTATTTTTTTTTGTATCTTTTTGTTTGCTGTTGTAAGCAAAACCGTTAAGAACGACTGAAAGATTTTTCACAAAAGTCAAAACTCGGACACAGACACTTATTAGTCACCGGACATGTTTCGATACATTGTGAGCTCTGAATTCTGGATACGTCTTGGGATTCTGTGTACCCCTGAGCTTTATCTCGCAGCGTGAGTCAAGAGAGTCCAGCAAAAAAACAGAAGAAAAACAAAAACCCCAACATTTATATATGTCACGGATTATTCGGAACGACAGACGGCATTAAAAAAACAGAATAACCGCTAAGAATGGAAACTTGTTTTGATTTGGCCAAGCAAGGAAAATTCAGTGGGGGAAAACAAGATGCATCTGAGCTGCCAAATAATTGATTTAATTGAATTTAACCTAAAAGGAAGAGATGAAGTTAAGGGGATAGTTAATGCGACAATATGATTTGTTGTATTTAGTTTAAATAAACTACTCAAATTAATTTTCCCACCAGCACTTGAAGCTCACTCACATCACTGCACGTGTTTTCTTTTGTTTTTTGGTTTCGATTTCTGTTTTTGGAGTCGCTGGAAAAGCGAATTCACTTGAAAAGCAAGACTGCACGCGACGAACTCCGAGAGACGAATGGCGAATGGTTGAGCTGAGCTGAGCTGAGCTGAGCTGAGGTGAGCCCACTGCAAAAGCGAGCAACCTGGGCTAGGTTCAAGATACATATCTCAGATTCTCCTTCCAGGTGCCCATCGAAAGAGCAGGTAAATAAACAGAGAGACGCGCTGACAGCTAAATTGCATATTAATTTGGAAAATTTCTGACTGAAGCGAACCGAAAGACAGGCCAAGCAAATGACCAGGTGCTGGGTTTTCGGACTTCGTCTACCTGAGCCACCTTCTCACTTTGTCACCCACTGGTTGAAATCAAGAAATATATTATCTAGATAAGCCGGGTTTAACTGATACTGAAACAGAGTTCAGGGAAAATTGAGTGGGAATCAAAGTGTATCCAAAATAGATAAGGAATTACTTTAACTTTGGATATCAATTAACAATTAACCGAGGGAAAATTGAGTATAAATCAAAATGTATTAAAGATAGATAAGAAGGAATTACTTCAACTTTGGATATATATTAACAAAGAACAACATTTCCTTACTAGGACCTCCTAGCACCTCCTAAATCCTGATCCACCAGCTTAAACCTCAACTGAAACTCCTCTTAAAAAAACTCTAGTACAATCCCAAACTCGAATTCAATTACCATGCATAACCACATGGAAAATGGCATTGCTAAAAGTTCAGAGTTTAGCCACAACTGCTGAATCGTGAAGTCAAAGTAAGAGCCTGGTCGATGGAATAATGAAATAATGGAGGAATAATGGTTGAAATGCAGACGAACGTTGGAGTGAGTGGAGGGATTATCTCTGGCCAAAGTCATAGGTCAAAGTGCAGACACGCGAATGGCTCCTCCTGGGCTTTTTTTTTCTCCCCTGTATTTTCCTCTGATATCTATAGTTTCTTAATGCAGTAATTGCCCTTTGGAAAGCGTTTAGCAAGCAATTAGTTTGAGTGCTAAACTTTTGGGTGCGGTCAACACAGACGCACCCATAAATGCGGAAAAAGCTAAACTGTTCAAATTTAAGCCTCAAAGTGAATCTGTTTTCATGAAATTGAGACGTCTCTTTTGCATATAATTAGAAACCATCCCAAGGATCGTTGATCATTCACTCACATTTTGTAATTGAATTACGCTGGGAGGTAATTAAAATTTCTTTTCTTTCTTTTTTTATTAGTCTTTTGTTTTTGTATTTTTCTTTGCAAAAAGTGAATGTGAACCAAGATCACGCGATCACTTTGGCAATGCGGCAGGCAGTCTCTCTATCTTATAATAGAGTTAGAGAGTGCGGGTTAAGGGGCCCCTCTTAATGATATAACAAAATGAATTGTTTTATAAACTATTTGGCGCGGCATAAATAATTGCACGCCATCAAGCCTTGACTTTACGAGCCCCTCACACGGCATCTCTTCACTTCTGCAGACTCTAATGGAGTTGTAAATGCTGAGATTCCCTCCAAGGTGTTGAAAATTTATGCAAAACTATTAAAGGCAATGTGAAGAACACTCGTGGAGATATTTAAGTATATTATGCAGAAACCACCTGGCTGCACTCTCGATCGCCCGCAGAAAGGTCTCTGTCATTGGCATCGGAATACAGACTCTATGTCAAGTGCTCAGTGCGAGATATAAAAGCGTTAATAAATCAACGGCCCTGGCAACGGCAACGGTTCGAGCGGTTTTCAACAACAAGGTTAAAGCCGCAGTTGAGGCAGAAATAAGTTAAAAAAAATAATATCTCGCAGCTAATAAAATATAAAATATGATATATGGCCCACAGAAGCATCAGACTTGATGGGTAAACCGCAATGAAAAAATCAAGACGGATCATATGGCAGCACTTGCGGAAATTTAAATGTTTATTTCTGTATAAAGTTGTTATTTTATAGATTTCTAACTATATTATAAAGAATCATAAGAGTAAGTTTAATGAAATGTTGAATTTAATTTACTGTCTTCATTGTATCATTTTAAGGTACTCTTATTTCAGTTAGAAGCTTAAAACTCTATGAAGAAGTTATTTCCGACCCTATAAATCATATATTCTTGATCAGCATCAAAAGCCGAGTCGATCTAGCTATATCCGGGCGAGAAAAAAATGTTACAAATTTTTTCGAAATTTTTAAGGGAATACATCGTTAAAATTTTGGGGAAAAAATTTGATAAAAATGAAAATTTTTTAAAATATTAAACTGAGTATGCAGATTTAAAAACCTTGTAAAAAGTAACATTTAAATGGTTTTCGAATTGAATTTAATGATTATTTTAAGATTTGATTTGTCTGAAAAAATTGTCATATAAGTATTAGTTTCCTTTCTTGATTTCTATTATCATAAAAGAACTTAAACCAAAAGCAAACCCAATATTTCTCCAAGTGCAACCACATATGAACCTCAGGTGATTTTGCAGGTAATGTTTCGCGTCACATAAATCACCAGGTAAGCAGAAAATCAACTTATGCAACAAATTATGCCAGACTGTGAATCGAATTCGCTGACTCTGTTAGTTGCTCCGATTTTTCGGGATCCAAAAGAGTGGCAATTACCCACGAAAGGCGCTAGATGAGAGCAATGAAAGGTAATGAAGCTTTCATCAGACAATGAACGGAGACCCCAAGAGACCTAAAGAGATCCCAACAGATCCCGAGAGATCCCATAGATCCAAGATTCAAGTTCGCTTTGGTTTGACTTTCCCACGCCGCAATTTACTTGGCGGTAATGATGCAAAATTACAACGTCAACATGGGCTTACAGCCTGACTGATTCCACTGAGGTCTCTTTGCAAGTCTCAAGTCGCTTTTTCGCTTTTTAGTTTTGCCATTTTTGCTGTTTTGCTCTTTTGTCCGGCCATTCGACATTTCATTAGGCCAACCCCGCGAAAGGTTTAAAAATAGTTGCCAACTCGGTGGGGTCTTTGTTTTGTCTTGAGCCAAAAATATTGCTTAATGGTTGCTCTCGGGCTAAGAGCCAAAATTTCACCTCAAGTTCAAGGTGTCGCGACTTGTTTTGCTTTTTGCTCTATGAATGCTCTTTTGAGAAATCGAAATTTGGCAATGTTTTGCCATCTGCCTTACGGTGTAAAAGGTCAAAATCTAAGCAAGAAATTGTTTCAAAAAATGTATCTACCTTTTCTTCCTTTTTAATCGTTAAATATCTAACTTTATAAAAGGGTTTTTTGAGAGAACCATAATTTCCAACCACTTGTCTTCATGGGTTAAGGGCTTAGCAACATTTCAGCTTTGGCAACTTTGTTGCTAAACCTTTTGCCGGTCAGCTGTTTCATGTTATTCCACGAGCAGGCGCAGTTTGCCAGACACGTGCTGTCGCCGGCAACAACCCTCCAGTGAGTAGCCCTTCTCCTCCTTACAGATGGACCCAATCCCACTCCCAGTCAGGGATCCCCAGACATGTTTTCGTTTCCTTTCTGTTTTGCCGGTTGCCGGGGGTAACCCCCGAAAAAGCCGAATGGAAATGCGTCAAAACAAACTCTCCTCTTTGTTGGGTCTTCCGATGGGTTAGAGTGTTTCCCAGGGGTTGTGTGTGTGTGTGTGGGTGGGATGATTCTTGGGTGGATTTTGGTTGTTGAAAGCCAGTTGAGTGACTCGACAACGGAAGAGCCATGTGCAGCGGAAGCAGGAAACATGCGTTTTTCGGACAAAAGCAAACAAAGAAGCCCCAAACCCTGTATAAGATCGAACCAGACATCAATTCATCTAAAATCTACACAAGAAATTCAAGATAAATATAGAATTTTAATGCTTAATATTGGATTTTTTTTAAGTCTACTTCCAAATTGTAATTATGTATTAAGAGCCACAAAATTACTAAGTTAGAGCTTAATTGGTGACTATATTTTCTTTGCGTGCATAAAGGGGAGTCTTCTTATTTCGGGGTTGTTGCATTTTTGGTTGTGCCTACGTGCCTGTCACGGTTTTTCCCCTGTTTTCCCCCCCCGATGGGCGTGTGCACTTATTGATTGAGTTTTCCTTTTCTTTTTGTTTTTCCCCCCAAAGTCTGTGGGACCCGCATAATTACCTATACCATTACTTTGGCGTGAAATTCTTCCGCTTTCTGCTTCAGTTTCCCTGAGAACAACGTGAGTCAACGATTTTCAAGATGGTCTACAATTTAAACAGCGTTTGCTTTTCTTTCTACTTATATCTGGTATCGCGTAGGAAAAGATATATATATATATATATAGTTATATATGTATATAAACAATGTGACGCTCCCATTTACCGTTCCGCTGGCGTCAGAGGAACAGCGTCATCGGAGGTAAACTTCTTTCGGGGTTTCGACGTTTTGATAACTTGTTTTGGCTTTCAGCTCGGTTCGTTCTTGTTCTTGGCCAGGCCCTCAGAATGCCAAACAAACAATGGAACAACATGTGCGGATGTCATCCGAGTGCCTTAATTGACCGCCAAGTGAATGTACTTGCCGCTCTGCGACTGTCTCCGCCGGTGAGTCTTTCGCTTTGGTCTGGTCTGTTCTGGTCTTGTCTCCTACTTCACCTCCAATGAACTCTACCGTCAAGTTCAACGAGTTAACCGGGAACAACGGCAGCCAGAACTACCAGCAAATCGCAGTTTATTCAACTGCGGGGCCCTACTACACTGTGAAAAAGTGAACTAAGAGCAACAAATTGAAAAGCACAAGTGTTTAAAATGTTACTCATTCAGTCAGAACCAAAACTATAGCTTGTAACAAATGGTATTGCATTAAAAATATAAAAAAAACAACTAAACTTGTACATTAAAGATTTCACTTAGTTAAAAATACATGGTTAATAAATGTTTATAAATAAAATTCGAAAACTAGACAGCAATGCATACAAAAATATCTCAAAAATATAAGAAAAATATTGTAACATCTTAATATATTTTTTCCTCATTAATTAACATTCTTTTGTTTGTATTCAATATTTATTTCTGAGTGCAGTGCCTAGGTCTCGTGTCTTGTCGCCTCGCTCCGATTGTCACAGCTGTTTTCCCTACCGGGAAAATTGGGGAGGAAAAGAGGAGCAAGGTTTGAACTGGTGGCTTGTCAAGTGCCTTGCTCTGCTCACTGGAAGAGGCTACTGTTTCCTGGGTGCCCTCCTTATCGCAGCGATTGTGAGCGATTACTGTAGTGCATAAATTACAATTTTAATTGGCAAGTTTTTGTTGCACTAGTTGCTTTACCATTATTATTATCGCAATATTAATAACAGACCTCGATTAACTAGATAAAAGGGATAAAGTTTAAGTTATGCGAGAGTTGGGTTATTGAGAATCGAGCTATAAGAACACACAAATTGTAATTAGTAGACAGTCGAGCGACAAACACTGCAGCGTTCACAACGTAGAAAGTGAAAGCGATCTCTGGCTAGTCTCTAGACTTAATCTCCGCTGGGAGGTTTTCATCAAGAAGAACAACAATTACAGTAGCTGCAATGTGGCTAACCCCGATTGCAGGCGCTCTGATCTTGCTCCTCGCCTGGGATTTTGTACGAAAACGCCATCGAGTCACAACCTTGGCCAAATCCAAGATCAAGGGACCCCTGTCAGTTCCGATCCTAGGATGTGGTATCCAGGCTTTGTCCCTGGGAGCGGAGAGTATGTCCCCAGACTTCTCCTATAAGTCTCATCCCAGAGCACGCATGAAAACTAAGTCCCTTTTCAGATTTCCTTCAATATGGGGACGAATTGTTTGAGAAATATGGCAAGAGCTTTTGCTTTTGGGTTCTCGGTGAATGCGCAGTGTATACAAAGGATCTTAAGGATATTGAAACAGTTCTAACCAGTACCACGCTCTTGGAAAAGGGTCAACTCTATCGTTTTCTACGACCCTTCCTCAACGATGGACTTCTAGTCAGCACGGGCAGGAAGTGGCATGCCAGGAGAAAGGTCTTCACCAATGCCTTCCACTTCAAGGTCCTGGAACACTATATGGAAATAATGGACAGAAATAGCGGGGTGTTGGTGGAGAAACTGAGGAAGGTGGCTGGTGGCAAGACACCGGTGGATATAATTCAGCATGTTTCTTTAGCTGCATTGGATGTAATCACAGGTGAGTGTTGTTATGTCACATAGAATTATTTATAGATGCAATTAGAACAAAATAGCTCTATAAGCGGGTTTATTTAATTTGTATACCCTCAGAAAATGTATCTTATATAGTAAAAACAAAATTGCTTGAAGTAATTATTCAGGTTTATCGCTCTACATCTACATTTCCTTTTATTATAAAACGTAGGAATTTCCGTATTAAATATTAGTTTACAGACTCTGAGTAAGATGCGTAACATAATTTTGCCCTTTCGGTTTATTAACTAAATGTTATTCTTTATTTTATAAGCTTATATAAGCCGACTTGTACCTTTGCCCTTAGGTTAAGCCCAGATTAACTTAACCATATTTAGTTTCTCTTCTCTACTAACCAACAGTAGGTCTCAGTGCCACCTATTATGACCGTTTATTGATTTATGAAACTCTTTTGCAGAGGCCGCCATGGGTGTCCAGGTGAATGCCCAGAACGACCCCGATTTTCCGTACATCAAGGCGCTCAAAAAGTGAGTATACCCCAAGAATATATGAGTACTCATGTGTGTTCAACACTTTCCCTGTTCTCACTCCCTTAAGTGTGGTCTATATCCAACCGGATCGCATGTTCAAAGTATCGCAGCGCTACGACTGGCTCTTCCCCCTGTTGGCGCCACTGCTCCACCGGCAGCTCGTGAACGATATCCGCGTCATGCACGAATTCACCGACAAGGTCATTCGCGAGCGGCGGGCAACGGTGGAGCGGGCTAAAGCCGACGGCAGTTACCGGCCACTGGGTGGGTGCACTGAATCATTCACAAAGGAAGCTATTGTCTCACTCTTCTAAATCACTCTCTACTCACAGTTCCAGGTGATGCCGATATCGGCAGAAAGTCACAGATGGCTCTGTTGGACATCTTGCTCCAGGCGACCATCAACAATGAACCCCTCAGCGATGCGGACATCCGCGAGGAGGTGGATACCTTCATGTTCGCGGGGGATGACACCACCAGTAGTGGTGTCTCCCACGCCCTGTACGCCATTTCACGGAATTCGAAGATCCAGCAACGCATATACGAGGAATTAGTAGAGGTCCTTGGTCAAGATCCCTCCACTCCAGTCACCCAAACGATGCTGTCGGAGCTAAAGTATCTGGAATGCGTTATCAAGGAGACCATGCGTCTATATCCTCCAGCTCCCGTAGTTGGAAGATACACCACCATGGACTTGGTTATCGGAGAAAAGGTCATTCCTGCCAACACGAGCATTTATCTAGTTCCATACTTTGCCCACCGGGATCCGGATTACTTCCCAGACCCGCTCACCTTTAAGCCTGAACGTTTTCTGGACGGAGAGGAGGAAGCCCACGCGACCTTCGCCTATGTGCCCTTTAGTGCCGGACCCAAAAACTGCATTGGCCAAAAGTTTGCCATTTTGGAGATGAAATCTTTGATCAGCAAGGTTATAAGATACTACGAACTACTCCCCCTCGGGGAAGATGTCAAGCCCATGCTGAACTTCATCTTGCGTTCGTCCACGGGCATTAATGTGGGTTTGCGGCCCAGAAATCTTAAATAGGGAAAGCCCCTTTCTCAGTCATTTGGTTAAGGTTTCAATTAAAGGTAACTGGGTTACTTGTGATATAGAGTTGTTAAGATTATTATCAAATAAATAAATAAATAAAAAGCCTTGCTTAAAGGAATATGAGTGCATTAACAAATCAAAGTTTAAAAATGGATTTAAATCGAAAACTTTTTTCACTCAATTTGATCGACAACACCCTGGACTAAGTGAAACTCTATAGTTTTCTCAAAGGGAAATCGAAAGATACGGAATATCTTAATAATTTAAATACCTTAAAGACGAGGGCTCCAACAACACCGAAATTAAAGACCCTCCATTAACAAACATTTACACAACTTGAACCCACAGTTGCAAATATTTTAACCCCCGTTGACAGAGCTACATAAAGAAATAATAAGGGAATTCAATTTCGCAATTAGCAAAAATTAAACAAAACATTAAGACACTTAAAAAATAAACTAGTTCTGAAAGTCCTAGCAAATTAATGCAGTTAAAAGTTAAGGAGCAAGTGACTTACTCCAGAACCAAAAGATTCGCTTGTTGTGAGGGATTACTATAGTAGATCAATTCAACTTTAAATTACAAAGTTGCTTTTCCATTATTATTATCGGAATACTATTAGTTGCCCTCGATTAAATAAGTTCATTGAACTTTACCAACCATTTGATTAGATTAATTAATACCTTTTTAAAAGTATTAATTTATGTTGCGAGTCTTTGATCACAGTTTGAGCTATTTAAAACTCAAATATTAAACAATTAAACTATATAGATTTTGAAAAGTTTTCTTATAAGACAATTGAATATTCCCTGGGTGCTATCGGCACTCGATTATCTTGAATATATAATCAAGTATTTATTTAAATATCTAAGCACAAGCTTATATGTATATTTATGATTCATTCCCATTGTTCTGGCTTCAAGTATTAAAATAACATACAAATTGTATTCAATGACATTGCTTCTATCTCTTAAATTCATAAATATTTCAAATACCCTACACCTTGCAATGTAGAATTTTTTCTTTATTCACTCTCGATCGTCCACTGTATATACACTTTATATATTTATATGGTAATTCAATATCACCGTTTCGTTTTTAGGCATGGGTCAGTCCCGTATCGCTTTGAATGCGAGTCGTACGCCGCGAGTGTTGCAACACTCAAAACATTCAAAACGCTACTCGTACATATAAAAACACATATGTTTACATTAGTTGCAGCTTAAAACCAGTTTCCAGAGCGGATCGGAATCGGTTGAGAGCGAGAGAATCCCGTATTCTATATAGCTGATATATAATATACAAAGTGTAGTTTTTAAAACCCAAATAGCGCTTGGCTGGTCAAGCAGTCCGGCTATCAACAGTTGAGCGACAAAAGCGGCAGCGTCAACAACGCAGAAAGTGAAACTAAGTAATCATCCAACTCTGAACCGATCTCTGGCTTTAATCTCCGCCGGGAGGTGATCAAAAACAACAACAACAACAGCACGTGCAATTACAGTAGCTGCAATGTGGCTAACCCTGATTGCAGGCGCTCTGATCTTGCTCCTCGCCTGGGACTTTGTACGAAAACGCCATCGAGTCACAACCTTGGCCAAATCCAAGATCAAGGGACCCCTGTCAGTTCCGATCCTGGGATGTGGTATTCAGGCTTTGTCCCTGGGAGCGGATAGTATGTGCTACACAGAACTATGTTCTACAAAAAGTAACAAAAATCCCTTTTCAGACATCATCCCATACGTTGGCGACGGGTTCGAGAAATATGGCAAGAGCTTTTGCTTTTGGGTCCTTGATGAATGCATATTGTACACCCAGGATATGAAGGATTTTGAAACCATCCTCAGCAGTACCACACTCCTGGAGAAGGGTCAGCTCTATCGCTTTCTCCGACCCTTCCTCAACGATGGACTTCTAGTCAGCACGGGCAGGAAGTGGCATGCCAGGAGAAAGGTCTTCACCAATGCCTTCCACTTCAAGGTCCTGGAACACTATATGGAGATAATGGACAGAAATAGCGGGGTGTTGGTGGAGAAACTTAGAGAGGTGGCCGATGGCAAGACACCGGTGGATATACTCCAGCATGTTTCTTTAGCTGCATTGGATGTGATCACAGGTGAGTGTTATTAGCTCTTATGTCACATAGAATAATTTATAGATGCAATTACAACAAAATAGCTCTATAAGCGGAAATGTATATAATATAGTACAAAACAAAATTGCTTGAAGTAATTATACAGGTTTATCGCTCTACATCTACATTTACTTTTATTATAAAACGTACGAATTTCCGTATTAAAAATTATATATACAGTGGCTCACAGCTTATTTCGTGCAAAGGTTAACCTAAAATTTAAACTCGTATATTTAAGGAACGTTAATAGATATGAACAAAATTTAAATGCAGTTTTGTTAAGTAGGTTTTAGGCATTTATGAGGACACTTAATTATTTTTAAATACCATTAAATAACGCTTAAAACTAAAATACAAAAAAAAATACTGACTTTTTTTATGTCACAGCTTATTTCGTGCTCGATTTTAAATAATAATTATAATAATAAACTTAATATTTTGTGTGGCCTCCATATGCCCTAATTACATCCTTAAAAACTAGTTTCCATTGGAAAAACCAATTTTTCTGTTGATTCCTTTGGAATCATGGACCATTCGTCCAAGAGGCCTGTTTTGAGCTCTTATTGGTTGGGTATCGACCTCTTGCGGATACGAGGATCCAAAAATGGCTACAAATTCTCAATGACGTTAAGGTTAGGAGACCAGGTAGGTGTATCCATTAAGTGAGGTCAGTTCCATTGCATCCAGGTCTGCAGAAAATCTGATTTTTGCTTTGGGTCATTATCCTGATAAAATTGGTAGCTCCTCTCTATGGTCAATTTCTGTTGTCAGGTACTTATGTTGAAGGTACTTATGTTTGTCTATAGTTTCTTCGATTAACGCCAACATTCCAACTCCGGATACCGCCATGCATCCGCAAGCCATGATTCTATCGCCACCATGCTTGACCGTAGGTATTAGATTCTTATTGTGCAGCTCTGTAATCAGTTTACGCCAAGAATACTGCATTCCACCCTTCCTAATTTTGGCCCAAAATGTTGATCTTTGACTTGTCTATGAAAATAACATCATTCCAGATTGATAACAGATGAGTTACATGGTCGTTGGAAAATTTAAGCTTGCGCTTCTGATTCTTTGGCCTATTAAAAGGCCTTTTGCGGGCTACTCGGCCATTAAAGTTGTGTTTCCGCAAATCGCGGCGGACGACACCTTTTCCCATTTCATGCTCAATATCTACTCTATGTTTTGGTGCCCAATTTTGTCGATTAATTAATTTATTTAATTAATTTTTGGGTATAATTCCCCTTTTCTCCATACCTGTAAAAGTTTTATTCTGAGCATTTTGGCCTCTATCACCTAATAGTTTTTCTCGGTTGAAACATTGGATGATATATTGGACAGGAATAGAGCTCACGTTTACTATTTCAGCAAAATTAAGTTTAGTTTTTTCATTTTTAATGTGATTTAGGACCAATTTGCTCTGCTCCATGGGTGTACGCGTGCTCATTTTGGTGAATAAAAAAAAAACATTTTTTTCAGTGTAACCAAACGTTAAAAAGTTATAAGTATATAAGTTGATATCTTCTCTAATGGATTGCAACAAGAAAAAGTTATTTAAGATTAACAAATTCCAAATTAGGTTACTTAAAGTTCTTGCACGAAATAAGCTGTGACATGAAAAAATTCGTTATTTTTAGTTTTTTTTTTTAGATTTAAGAGTTAACTAATAGTATTTAAAAATAAAAAAGTGTCTTAATAAATGCTTAACTCCTACTTAACAAAATTGCATTTCAATTTTGTTGATATCTCTTACCGTTTGTTAGCTATAACAATTTGAATTTCAAGTTTACCTCTGCACGAAATAAGCTGTGAGCCACTGTACGTCTAGGTTACAGACTCTTTGAGTGAGATGCGTAATATAATTTTGCCCTTTCGGTTTATTATCTAAATTTACTGAGTTCCAAAATCTTTATATTATAAGCTTATATAAGCCGACTTGTACCTTTGATCTTAAGTTAAGCCCAGATTAATAACTTAACCATATTTAGTTTCTCTTCTCTACTAACCAACAGTAGGTCTCAGTGCCACCTATTATGACCGGTTATTGATTTATGAAACTCTTTCGCAGAGGCCGCCATGGGTGTCCAGGTGAATGCCCAGAACGACCCCGATTTTCCGTACATCAAGGCGCTCAAAAAGTGAGTATACCCCAAGAATATATGAGTACTCATGTGTGTTCAACACTTTCCCTGTTCTCACTCCCTTAAGTGTGGTCTATATCCAACCGGATCGCATGTTCAAAGTATCGCAGCGCTACGACTGGCTATTTCCCCTGTTGGCGCCACTGCTCCACCGGCAGCTGGTGAACGATATCCGCGTCATGCACGAATTCACCGACAAGGTCATTCGCGAGCGGCGGGTAACGGTGGAGCGAGCAAAGGCGGACGGCAGTTACCGACCACTGGGTGGGTGCACTGAATCATTCACAAAGGAAGCTATTGATTCTTCTAAATCATTCTTTACTCACAGTTCCAGGTGATGCCGATATCGGCAGAAAGTCACAGATGGCTCTGTTGGACATCTTGCTCCAGGCGACCATCAACAATGAACCCCTCAGCGATGCGGACATCCGCGAGGAGGTGGATACCTTCATGTTCGAGGGGGATGACACCACCAGCAGTGGTGTCTCCCACGCCCTGTACGCCATTTCCCGGAATTCGAAGATCCAGCAACGCATATACGAGGAACTAGTAGAGGTCCTTGGTCAAGATCCCTCCACTCCAGTCACCCAAACGCTGCTGTCGGAGCTAAAGTATCTGGAATGCGTAATCAAGGAGACCATGCGTCTGTATCCTCCAGTTCCCGCAGTTGGAAGATACACCACCATGGACTTAGTAATCGGAGAGAAGGTCATTCCTGCCAACACGAGCATTTATCTAGTTCCATACTTTGCCCATCGGGATCCGGATTACTTCCCAGACCCGCTCACCTTTAAGCCTGAACGTTTTCTGGAAGGAGAGGCTGAAGCCCACGCGACCTTCGCCTATGTGCCCTTTAGTGCCGGACCCAAAAACTGCATTGGCCAAAAGTTTGCCATTTTGGAGATGAAATCTCTGATCAGTAGGGTTATAAGATACTACGAAGTACTCCCCCTCGGGGAAGATATCAAGCCCATGATGAACTTTATCTTGCGTTCGTCCACGGGCATTAATGTGGGTTTGCGGCCCAGAAATCATAAATAGGGGTTTAAGGTTTAAGGTTTCGGTTAAAGGTAGATGGGATACTCGTGATATAGATTTGTTGAGATTATTATCAAATAAATAAATAAATAAAAAGCATTGCTTAAAGGAATATGAGTGCATTAAACAATCAAAGTTTAACAATGGATTTAAATCGAAAACATTTCTTCACTCACCAGACTGAGTGAAACTCTATAGTTTTCTCAAAGGGAAATCGAAAGATACGGAATATCTTAATAATTTAAGTACCTTAAATACGAGGGCTCCAACAACACCGAAATTAAAGACCCTCCATTAGCAAACATTTACACAACTTGAACCCTCAGTGGCTAATATTTTAACCCCCGTTGACAGGGCTACATAAAGGGGGGAATTGAATTTCGCAATTAGCAAAAATGAAAAATAAAAAAACATTAAAGCAGTTAAAAGATAAAATAATTCTAAGAGTCCTAGCAAATTAATGCAGTTAAAAGTCTTAAGGAGCAAGTGACTTACTCCAGTTTCAAAAGATTCGCTAGTTGTAAGGGATTACTGTAGTGCATAAAGTTAACTTTAAGTTACAACGTGGCTTTTCTATTATTTTTATCGCAATCCTCTTAGCTTCCCTCGATTAAATACTAATCAATGCATTCGATGATGTAAAGTATTCATATGTATGCATATGAATAAAATTCTAAGGTAAACCTTTTTTGATTGTTTGATACTTGTGTTCTTTCTTATATCGGAGTAGTTCAAGGCTAAGCTAAGTTCATTGAACTTTACCAACCATTTGATTAGATTAATTAATACCTTTTTAAAAGAATTAATTTATGTTGCGAGTCTTTGATCACAGTTTAAGCTATTAAAACTCAAATATTTAACACTCAAAACATTCAAAACGCTACTCATACATATACAAACACATATGTTTAGGTTAGTTGCAGCTAAAAATCGGTTTCCAGAGCGGATCGGAATCGGATGAGAGCGAGAGAATCCCGTATTCTATATAGCTGATATATAATATACAAAGTGAAGTTTTTAAAACCCAAATAGCGCTTGGCTGGTCAAGCAGTCCGGCTATCAACAGTTGAGCGACAAAAGCGGCAGCGTCAACAACGCAGAAAGTGAAACTAAGTAATCATCCAACTCTGAACTGATCTCTGGCTTTAATCTCCGCCAGCACGTGCAATTACAGTAGCTGCAATGTGGCTAACCCTGATTGCAGGCGCTCTGATCTTGCTCCTCGCCTGGGACTTTGTACGAAAACGCCATCGAGTCACAACCTTGGCCAAATCCAAGATCAAGGGACCCCTGTCAGTTCCGATCCTGGGATGTGGTATCCAGGCTTTGTCCCTGGGAGCGGACAGTATGTTCTACACGGAGAGATAATCTCATCCTTCAACCGCGCATATAAACTAACAAAAATCCCTTTTTAGACATCATGCCATACGTTGGCGAAGGGTTCGAGAAATATGGCAAGAGCTTTTGCTTTTGGGTCCTTGATGAATGCATATTGTATACCCAGGATATGAAGGATTTTGAAACCATCCTCAGCAGTACCACGCTCCTGGAGAAGGGTCAGCTCTATCGTTTTCTACGACCCTTCCTCAACGATGGACTTCTGGTCAGCACGGGCAGGAAGTGGCATGCCAGGAGAAAGGTCTTCACCAATGCCTTTCACTTCAAGGTCCTGGAACACTATATGGAGATAATGGACAGAAATAGCGGGGTGTTGGTGGAGAAACTTAGAGAGGTGGCCGATGGCAAGACACCCGTGGATATACTCCAGCATGTTTCTTTAGCTGCATTGGATGTGATCACAGGTGAGTGTTATTAGCTCTTATGTCACATAGAATAATTTATAGATGCAATTACAACAAAATAGCTCTATAAGCGGGTTTTTTTAATTTGTATACCCTCAGAAAATGTATATAATATAGTACAAAACAAAATAGCTTGAAGTAATTATTCAGGTTTATCGCTCTACATCTCCATTTACTTTTATTATAAAACGTAGGAATTTCCGTATTAAAAATTATATATACGCCTAGGTTACAGACTCTTTGAGTGAGATGCGTAATATCATTTTGCCCTTTCGGTTTATTATCTAAATTTACTGAGTTCCAAAATCTTTATTTTATAAGCTTATATAAGCCGACTTGTACCTTTGCTCTTAGGTTAAGCCCAGATTAATAACTTAACCATATTTAGTCTCTCTTGGAAAGAAAAAAGACCCAATATGAAGTGGCATTTTCTTTGCAAAATTCATATGTCCCCTAAACCAACAGTGCGTCTCAGTGACCGTTTATTGATTTATGAAACTCTTTCGCAGAGGCCGCCATGGGTGTCCAGGTGAATGCCCAGAACGACCCCGATTTTCCGTACATCAAGGCGCTCAAAAAGTGAGTATACCCCAAGAATATATGAGTACTCATGTGTGTTCAACACTTTCCCTGTTCTTACTCCGTTCAGCGTGGTCTATATCCAACCGGATCGCATGTTCAAAGTATCGCAGCGCTACGACTGGCTCTTCCCCTTGTTGGCGCCACTGCTCCACCGGCAGCTGGTGAAGGATATCCGCGTCATGCACGAATTCACCGACAAGGTCATTCGCGAGCGGCGGGCAACGGTGGAGCGAGCAAAGGCGGACGGCAGTTACCGACCACTGGGTGGGTGCACTGAATCATTCACAAAGGAAGCTATTGATTCTTCTAAATCATTCTTTACTCACAGTTCCAGGTGATGCCGATATCGGCAGAAAGTCACAGATGGCTCTGTTGGACATCTTGCTCCAGGCGACCATCAACAATGAACCCCTCAGCGATGCGGACATCCGCGAGGAGGTGGATACCTTCATGTTCGAGGGGGATGACACCACCAGCAGTGGTGTCTCCCACGCCCTGTACGCCATTTCCCGGAATTCGAAGATCCAGCAACGCATATACGAGGAACTAGTAGAGGTCCTTGGTCAAGATCCCTCCACTCCAGTCACCCAAACGATGCTGTCGGAGCTAAAGTATCTGGAGTGTGTAATCAAGGAGACCATGCGTCTATATCCGCCAGTTCCCACAGTTGGAAGGTACACCACCATGGACTTAGTTATCGGAGAGAAGGTCATTCCTGCCAATACGAGCATTTATCTAGTTTCATATTTTGCCCACCGGGATCCGGATTACTTCCCAGACCCGCTCACCTTTAAGCCTGAACGTTTTCTGGACGGAGAGGAGGAAGCCCACTCGACCTTCGCCTATGTGCCCTTTAGTGCCGGACCCAAAAACTGCATTGGCCAAAAGTTTGCGATTTTGGAGATGAAAGCTTTGATCAGTAAGGTTATAAGATACTACGAACTACTCCCCCTCGGGGAAGATGTCAAGCCCATGATGAACTTCATCTTGCGTTCGACCACGGGCATTAATGTGGGCTTGAGGCCCAGAAATCTTAAATAGGGGAAGCCCACTTACTCAGTCGTTTTGTTAAGGTTTCGGTTAAAGGTAGATGGGATACTCGTGATATAGAGTTGTTAAGATTATTAATTGTTAGTTAAGTACTTAAAAGCTTGTTGAAGAATTATTATTTCTTATTTGTGTTTCAAATATACCATCCATATCATTTATATTTACGATGATATCTGTGTTTTACGATAGCTAAGCATCCTATAAATAAACGCGTTACTCAGCATCCTTCGATTACGGCCCCTTTGAGCGCAATGCGACTCACCCAGCTTAGCCATAAAGATTGTCCCAATATTTGCCGTGATTATAAAATTAGGCCCCCAAACAAAATGTATTTGAACAGCGGATGAGCGTGGCGGGCCATAAAGAATCCCGAGTTTATCAACGTAAATTACTCTATTTATCTTGGGCAAATATTAGTCGACTACTTAGAAAGCATTCACACCGTGAAAAGCTTCTACTCCGGCGGATATTTGGACACTTTAACCACCGTCACAGGAAATAAGTAATGTGCAATGTAGGGGGACTCATAGGAGCTCATACGCATTTCTCAGAAGCAGTAAATCCAAGACGATCTCAATTCAATCATCGCGACCACCGTTGGCCTGTTTATCTATGGTTTATCATTGGCCCAAAGATAATGCGCCAAGGCAATAGAAAAGTTTTGCAAAAACAGATAAGAGCATCGCATCGCGAAAGGAAATCACATAACAAGGGGCTCGGGCTTATCTATCATCCCGCCAGCCTGTCAGCCGCATCGGGGGTTTGCATATAAAAGCCATCTCCGGCGGACGGAATGCGTCAAAAGTGCTTCTGCCGTCGGTGCTAAATCTCGAGAATCTGCAAAATAAGGTGCTCTAAAATGTACTCGGTGGTGAAAATCCTAGCCATATTTGGACTAATCGGTTTGGTGGTTCCTGTCGATAGCGTCAGCAGGCCACTGCCTCCATATGTGGGCCTGCCCACACAGGATGGTCTCACCCAATTGTTCCTGAGTTCGCGGGTAACGCGTCGCGATCCCATGGCCTCGGTGGCCTGTTTCGGTGGTTATATTGGCGAATCTAACCTAATTGCGGAGTTATACAGCGGTGATTACAGCAATTGCTCCCAGAGAATGCAGATTGGAAGGAAGGGCATCGACAGTGACTTCCTGGCCACACGCAAGACTATCAAACTTTCCTCGGACAGGGTCTGTGAGGAGCTAAGGGAATGCAATGCAATCGAGAACACCCTGGACTCCTTCAACTGTCATGCCACGGTGGTAAGTGAAACGCCATAGATTTCTCATAAAAAAATATTGAAGAAAGAATCTTCCACTTAATAATTTCCTTACATTTCAGGGCTCCAACAACACCGTCTCCACCTACAGCATCTCTGGCAATGCCTCCGAATCCGGCAGGATGCTGCAGGAGCGTTACCGCGTGGTGGATCTCCAGCATGAGCAGTGCATCCACAAGGCAGAGCGTAGCTACGTGGAATCCACTGCCAAGAACTATAACCATCTGCAGGCCTGCCTGGATGGCCGTGTCAAGCCGAAGCCTATGCCTACGACCACATCCTCGACATCCTCAACAACGACGACGACCACTTCCACCACGACAACGACCACTGAGGCGCCAACCACCGAAGCACCCACGCAGTCCCCTTTAGACGCGGACGATCAGTTCAAGAAGCTCTTGAATTTGTTAAACTAATGTCCAGCAATGTGTATAACTTTCTACGGAAGAAGCTTCGAAATTAAAGAGGGGTAATCCTTTAGCAAAACATTTACACAACTTGAAATTCAACCCTCAGTGGCCAATGAATTAACCCCCTTTGACAGAGCTGCACAAAAAGGGGTTGCAGCTGTGGCATTGAATTTCGCAAATTGCAAAAACGAAAGAATTAGCAAAATATTTAGACAGTGCATATAGGGGAAGTCCTGAAAGTCCTGGCAATTTACTTATGTCAGCAGTTAAAAGTCTTGAATATGTTTAACCTTAATGAATGGCCCTTGGGGCATGCTCTTTAAATTTCCTTTTCAAAACATTTTAAATAACTTTCTTCATTTAATACATAAATATATCATGTATCTTATTTTATTAAATAAATTTCCTACTCTATTGGCTTACTTTAAAATCAAGAGAAAAGTCTTTATATTTAATCATTCTCCAAGACTAATCTCTACACTATATAATTTTAAAAACCCATCCCATTAATCCATGCTCGCTTTTAAATGACCCTTAACTCTATATCAATGATTAATGAGCTGGAAAAGAAAGAGACTTCAAATCTACCTCGAGGCTCTTCCGATTTAAACGCCTCAAGACGGAAACACTTTGATTAATGATCAGGTTATGAAGAAATTATTTGAGCCAATAATGAAACAAAAGTGCGAAATAATTCAACAAGATCTTCAAGATCTTCAGATCTCAGGCTGCAATGAAAACCAAAGTGGAAGAGAGCTAGAAGACATGACCAAAACTGGTGAGGGGAATGATGGTACTATTTGGCCATAAGCCATTGAAGGTGCCGGCTAATACCCCTGTCCCTGTCCCTGTCACTTCTACCACAAACCAAAGAACACGTTTGGCTTTTATGGCTTTCGGGTCTGGGTCTGGGAGTTGCTTCTTTTCCTTTCAAGGCGGCTTGGCTTGACTTGAATTGGCTTGGCTTGGCTTTCCTCTGTGCCTTTTGTAGGGCTGAATAGAACCAAGATTCAGGGGGGAAAACAAAGACGTGGAACACCTGTTGGCCCCGCAACAAGTGGCTCATTTATTAGCACAATTGGCGTGGCATTCGACACCGGTTTTCTTTTATTATATATATGGTGGCATACGACCAAGATCCAAGATCCCGAGGAGCATGTATATGTGTAATTCCCGGAATGCGATTGCGTCAATCTCAATGCGTTTTATTGCCGGCAGCCAGAATATGCAGCAGACGGGAGTGGCCATGGACTTGTACGTTTCTAATTTTTATTTTAACTGCGATAAGTAATTAAAATGCAACTTGTAGTTGGCTGTTTACGACCTGTTGTGGGTTCTGTGGATAATTGGTGGCGAAAAATCCATAGGAATGTGTAGAGGAGTGGCATATATTATTATGCTGCTGCTGCAGATGGTTTGTTAGGTGATAAAAGTTTCAATTTGGAGGCAACGCCTTGGGAGATTTCTTTAATTTCCGTTGCTAATTAATTTTTTGCAGCTCGTAAAAAGTTAATTGATCTGACCATACATTACTCAACCCGGTTGGGAAATTTTTTTACTCATATGAGAGGGAGAGGGTCATTAATCACCAGAACTATTTCCATATTCCTAACCCACATCGGCGGCACAATTTACGCGCTTCATTGAGCTTCCCATCTGAGGCTCTGGGTCTAGACCATTCAGCCATGGAAAAATAGAAATAAAAGAGTGGGAAAAAAAAGGCAAAACAAAAATCTGAGGCTTGTCAACATTATATGCATAACGAAAAACGAGTTTTTCTCCACCAACGAAAAACGTGAACTTTTCATTTTCATTGGAGCGCACACACACAGAGAGAGAGATTCCGGCGAGGATCGAAAATTGGGGAAATGTGTTAAATGCAACGTGAGAGAGACATGAGTGAAAAATGCTCAATAAATATTTGCAAATGCTTTGCATAAATAAATGAAAATTGCCTATGCCAAAGACGATGGAGGCCCGGCCTGACAGTCTGGCCAATTAAGGCAAAAGTTGCAAGTGCGATGGCGGCATCGTTGTCGCCAAAAATAAAAACAAAAGTCAAGTAAGTAAGTAAAATATCTTGCCAATGATAATTAATAAACGAATTGGTGATATCCTGTACAATGTCAATATAAAAGTTTAATTTTTTGACATTTGTTTTGTTAAAACATTTAAAATACGAACTTTGGCTCTAAATTCAAACTCTAGAAAAAAGATTCTTTAGTTTCTTTAAGCTTGTTTTACTCTTTAGCACCTATTAACTCTATATACCCTGGATTTAAATATATTTAATGGGTATTTACCAACTGTACGTAAAACTAGTTTGCCTGCAGCTTAAAAATAAAAAAAAAATATATATAAAAAAAACCCAACAACTGAAAGCGCAGAAAAGGAAACCGTCGCCGGTCGTCATCGAACTTGTTGTGTGTGTTTGTTGCTGTTGTTGTTTAAGCCTTTTAAGGCTTTTTGGCATGTTGCGTGTTGCGCATGCGCCTTGTGTGCTATCAATTTCAGTTGCTCTCTGTGTTGGCAAGTGTCTGTGTCTGTGTGTTTTGGTGGGAATGGTACAGATATCGATATATCAATATCGGATTAATTTTGGTATCGTATTTATATATAAGAATATATGATGATATTTTAAAATTAAGGTTTAATTCCAGTCCGATTAACTATTTTAAAAACACTATCTATAAGTAATATTTTGACATAAAAACTTTATTTTTAAATATTTTAATTCCCTGTGATTATCGAATTTTCTATATAGAAATCAAAATATATCGTGTTTTCCTCCAGCACATAAACATTGATGTGTTTATGTTTTCAATGCTAACTATCTTTATATATTATTGTAACGATTTTAAATCAATACCTATAATATTTTGATATTAAAACCGTAGTATTAATAGGGTACCCTATGTTTATTGAAATTCGATTTCATTCGATATACAAATACCGATAGATCGTATTTTCCTTCTCCATACATAAATAGTTTTGTGTGTTCCCATACACCTCTGCTGAGTGTGTGTGTGTCTGTGAATTCGGGTCATTCGCATTTTCACATTTTAAGGCGTAAGTTGTTTTTGTTTTTTTCTTCTTGGTTTTGCATGTTGATTTTCATAAGATTTCTGCCTTGCAGGCTGCATTCGCTGCACTTGCTGCCTTTGCAACTTTTACCATCGGTTGTGACCAGGAATCCGCCTCCTTCTCCGCGTTTCTTGGCCAAGTTGGAGCTGGTTGTTAATGGGTAATGGCATGTTGTAGTTGCTGCCGCTGCCTCGATGAAGCGATTTTTGCTTTGTTTGTTACTTAATTGCGCCAAAGTCATTAATAATCGATTAACAATATATGGCCAAGAGGATGCTGATGATGTGAGCGCTGCATCTGAGAGTTGGATTCACAGGAAACTGTTCAGAGGAAATGCTTTGGGAGTTTCCTTTTAGACAAATGGGAGCGGGAAAGTCAATGAAGAAAATTTCTTTAGACATTAATCAGCAAATGGAGAAGATAAATCTTGAGTTGTCTGTATAAAAACGAAATTCTTTACTGAGAAAATAGTTTAAAAGGTAAAGAAATGAGAGTCTAACAGACTGAACCATAAAATGTATCGCAAGACTATAAATTATTTACTATTATTTTCCTAGCCACAATCTTTTGGTTAATAGTTCTCCAACCAGTTCAAGTCTCCATAATTCTATTTTCATACGTTTTCAACCATAAAAGTTCGACGTTTAATGTCACCTGTCCCGCTTCTCCCATGAAAGCTTAAGCACACTCGCAACAGGTGTCTAATTGATTGACTGACAAGCGACAGACGACAGGCGAGATTGGATGATTGGAGGATTGGGAGTTGGAAGTTTAGCTCCACATGGACATGAACATGGAACATGGAAATGGAGATGGAAATGGCGATGCACTGACAGCCCTGGCCAAACAATGCAATTCAATATATCAAAAGGAAAACTCAAGCTCATTGTTTGTCACTCTGTCGCCCAGAAATCGATAGTGCCAGTTGGGTTGGATAAGGAGGAGCCGGAGGAGGACATGTTGGCCCGAATACATCAAGGAAGCTGGAAAGGCACAAAGGAAATTGAATAACCAGGCACACGAAGATGCACAGCCAGTCGGACGGAGGACTGAAATAATAAATGCCCAATGATGATATCTATGACGGGGGCCTCAGACAGACAAAGGAGCCAGGCATGCTGGGACTGAGCACAAAGAGTTTGCTTTGAGCTGCTGTAAGATGAAGTCCCGGATTCGGAAACGGGGGAAGAGAAACAAGGGGGCAAGAAATGGAGGGCAGCTCCGGAGGTGGCTTCTCCACTTTGCATTCCCTGGAAGCTGCAGAAACATACTCTTACTTACAACCTAAAGATCGGTTGTTACTTTATTGAAACTGAGACAAAAATGTGGAAGTTGTTCATGTTTTCTTTCTCGTATATTAGAATAAGATATTTTTTAATGATTTATATCTTTAGTATAATCAGTTTTGGTTAATCACATCTAGGAAAACTATTACCTGCTTTGAAAATAATTTAAAAATCCCTTAAAATCTTTTAAAAATTACCAAATTAATACAGAAAATTCTCAATTCTTTGAAGTTTAATCTGAAGTCACTAAAGCTTTCTTTTCAGTGCATTGCCCAGTTGCAGCTGCAGATTTATGAGCGGCTGTCAGACAACAAAAGTAGCGAATTGCACGAGTCCAAGCTGCAAGGCAGCCCAGGGAACTTGGTCCAAAATGAGTTCATTGTACGAGGTGGCGGCCAAGGAGGTGGCCAAAGCATTGCTCCCTACTGCTCCTATTCCAACTCCCATGAATGCCTTAGCTAATGAGTTGTCAACTGGGCTGATGAGTTTTATTTGCCAGCCAGACAGGCCAAACAAACAAATGCGCCAAACAAATAGTAAAAAAAAATATATATATTTATATATGCATAGCCCCGGGGATTTGCATATTATCCTGTCGGGTTTGTTGACTTCGCGAGTGTCAAAGTCAATGTCAGGAAAGGAAAAACTCCCGTCTGGGACTTTTAGAAGTGACAGTTTAAGTGCATCTATTACAGATCCTGCTGCCCC